CACACACCTGTTTTATAGTCCCAGCTACTCGGGACTATAAAACATTCTTCCCATTTTTGTTATTTATCTTTGAGTTGGAATTATGATTAAGACAAAACACAGTTGCTTCAGTTTACCCACCAGACAGCCAGGAGAATGACCTTTCCCAAATGCAAATCTGATCACACCGCTTTTTGCTTAAAAATCCTTCAAGGTCTCCCTATTGACTTCAACATCCAGTTTAGGCACCTTAATCTGGTTACAAAAATGCTATAGGTCTAGCTTGATCTGGTCAAGAAAATACTCTGGCAGCCTCCCTGCCTCCTTCCGTGGGCCTTTTCTCCCTTCCCCTTCTCCTTCCCTGCCTGCCTGCCCACAGGCTGAATCTGGAATGGGTGTGGTTACCTCCACCCACAATGCCTTTCAGGCCTCTGGATAGCAGAGCTTGCCTTCCCTCTTCCAGAATATTCTGTACCCTCTTAATTTTTTTTTTTTTTTTGAGATGGAGTCTCAGTCTATCGCCCAGGCATGATCTCGGCTCACTGCAACCTCTGACTCCCAGGTTCAAGTGTTCTGGGAGTCAGAGGACACCTCAGCCTCCCGAGTAGCTGGAACTACAGGCATGTCCCACCACACCTGGCTAATTTTTGTATTTCTGATAGAGGCGGGGTTTCTCCATGTTGGCCAGGCTGGTCTTGAACTCCTGACCTCAACTGATCCACTGGTCTTGGTCTACCAAATTGCTGGGATTACAGGCATGTGCCACTGCGCCCGGCCAGTTCCCTCTTATCTTTATGATGAACACCTATTCTTCCCTCAAAAGCTTGTGTAAGGGCTGCACCTTCTACAATGTCTTCCAGACACTGCATCAAGCAGATACAACCTCACTTCTAGGGTTTCTTCTGAATAGCTTTTGTCCCCTCCGCGGGAAGTAGACTTTCCTGGAAGATGGGCCAGGTGTATCCTGTGACACTTGGTCCCTTTCTCATGGCACACACCTGATCTGAGCCCTAGTTTCAGAAGCAGATGTGTTTATTGTCATCTTTTGTTTCCAAGTTTATCTTCCTCTCTTAAACTGAGCTTTCCCAGTTTGTACTCCCTGCCTTCTCATCAGCATATAGACTGAAACAAAATTTGTGGCTTCATTCAGACCCACCATTTTTTAGCCTTCCTAGTTTGAAAGGCTCCTGTCTCATTTCCCCTTCATGCTTAACTTTCTGATCATATCATCTATAATCTATTTCCCCTTCCTCATCTCACTTCTTTTATCAGCCCATTTCAATGAGACTTTTGTCCCATGCTTTATATTTTCATGAGATTGTTTCTGGGGGGTGGGGGGTAAGGGCTTTTACTTGCAACTAAGGGAGCCAGACTGAAAAGAAAGGGGCTGGGGGAAAAAGGAAAGTACTTAGAGCTCAACTATCGCATAACAGACGCTATTCTGACTGAATAACATCTGGGTCATTTTGACAGAAACCAAGTCATCAGGCTTAGACAAACATCTCTGAAAGGCAAAGAGAGGATCTCTGAATTTTCCAAGGTTTAGAGAACAGAACTTCCAGGATGCCCCTAGAATGCTCCTACCTGGAGAGGCCCTGTGAGGTGGTGCTGCTCTTAGGGAGTTCCTGCTCTTCCCAGGCCCACTGAAACAAAAATGTCTTCCTCTTAGACATGAAATCATTTGGACCAACGAGTATTTTTTTTTTTTTTTTTTTGAGACGGAGTTTCATTCTTGTTACCCAGGCTGGAGTGCAATGGCGCAATCTCGGCTCACCGCAACCTCCCCCTCCTGGATTCAGGCAATTCTCCTGCCTCAGCCTCCTGAGTACAGGCATGTGCCACCATGCCCAGCTAAATTTTTGTATTTTTAGCAGAGACGGGGTTTCACCATGTTGACCAGGATGGGCTCGATCTCTTGACCTCGTGATCCACCCGCCTCAGCCTCCCAAAGTGCTGGGATTACAGGCGTGAGCCACTGTGGACCAAGGAGTATTATATGATTCATATGGAACCTGATGATAAAATGTTAGCATTTGTTTTTCCTCACCGCTTTTCACTATAACCTGTTCAAAGTTCTCAGTGTTAGCCTCTTGTCAAATCCAATAGTTAGTCTCATTCTCATCTTACTTGACTTTCATCACTGAGACAACCATTTGTGTCTTTTCTCTTTATTTATTTATTTATTTAATTTTGAGACAGAGTCTTACTGTGCCCCAGGCTGGAGTGCAGTTGCACAATCTTGGCTTACTGCAACCTCCTGGGTTCAAGCAATTCTCGTGCCTCAGCCTCCCAAATAACTGAGATTATAGGCATGCCCCATCACGGCCGGCTAATTTTTGTATTTTTAGTAGAGATGGGATTTCACCATATTGGGCAGGCTGGTCTTGAACTCCTGACCTCAAGTGATCTACCTGCCTCGCCCTCCCAAAGTGCTGGTATTAGAGGGGTGAGCCACCACGCTCAGTCAATGTCTTTTCTTTTAAAATTTGGTTTTTAAACAGTTTACTGTAGCTCAGTTGTTTTATCTGGTACTTATCTACATATTTCTCAAGACAATACCATATTCTGTCAAAGTAATACATACAAAGAGTTGTTTTTTGTTTTTTGTTTTTTTATCAAATAGGACAAAGGCCTTTTAAGAATGTCAGTCCTGCCAGGCATGGTGATGCACGCCTGTAATCCCGGCACTTTGGGAGGCCAAGACAGGAGGATCATGAGGTCAGGAGATCGAGACCATCCTGGCTAACATGATGAAACCCCATCTCTACTACAAATACAAAAAAAAAAACACAAAAAACAAAAACAAAAACCCAGAAATGTCAGTCCCACTTCTCACTTCCAACCTACTACTCTGGAATCCCTCAGAAACAGCCTCTTTAAATGCTCAGTTGTTTTATCTGGCACTTATCTACATGTTTATTGAGACAGTAACATACTTATGCTGCTGTTTCTCTGTATATCCATTTCTACATAGTACTTCCCTGTGCCCTATTGTGATCAGTTATGACATAGCTCTTATACCGTCAGCAGTAATACACCACAACTTCTGTTCCATGTTTCCAATACTGTGGTTATGTAATTATTATTCTATGGACCCAAGTTTCATATACGATTACATTTATTTTCATGTACAACCTCTTGTTTGTTTAGTAGGGAGGGGGTGAAATGATTCATTTTTGTTCCTTTGTTTTCTTTATTCCCCTCACAGGTTTTTCCCACTCCTCTAATTGCCTGTAAGCAGAGTTTCCATAGTAAAATATATCAGGTAATCTATCAATCCCCTCTTCATTCTTCCCAGAGCAGCATTTGGGTCTTACTTAAGAAGAGATTTTGATTTAGTAGGCCTGGAACAGGACCAGGATCCTTGCTGCTAGTTCCTCTGGTCCGCAGGTCCACAGGGCAGGATCTACAGTCTACAGCTCTTAGTCTTTTTCTTTCTTTCATGAGATGGGAGAGGTGGGCTGTGGGGTGTGGGGTTGGGCGGGGGAGTCTTGCTATGTTGCCCAGGCTGGACTCGAACTCCTGGGCTCAAGGGACCTCCCACTTCAGCCTCCAGTAGCCGAGAGTACAAGCACGTGCCACTGCACCCACCCAGCTATCGCTCTTTATCTTGCTCCTTTTTCTGGAGCTTTCTGTGAAGAGGCAGCTACCAGCTTTGCATGAATTATGGAGATGCCTCTGAGGGATGGTTCTGGCTCAGGGCCTTGGGCTTGTTTTGCATGTGGCCATACTGAGCCAAGACAAAGCACTGGTGTGAATGGGCATCATGCACAACACTGTATTCTTCTGCGGCTTGCCATTGAGCCTTGTGGTCAGCTGCTCTTTCCTGGGGGCTCATACTATTGATATGGTAGTAATAATCAGACATGACCCAGTGGCACGTCAACATTACTACAGTGACATAATTCCCCTATTTACCAAGCCCATGTTAAAATTACACATATGGAGTTTGTATAATTTTATGATTATAATGTGTATAATTTATGCACAACAGTTTACATATGTGAAGGTGGAGGGGAAGTGAAGTAGAGCTGGTGTGGAGATGAAGGTGGTGGACTTCTGTGTGGAAGAGGAGTTAGCAGGGTTTGCCCTGGGAAAGCAAAGGCTGAGATCTGATGGACTGCGGACATCCCTGAATTATATTCTTGGAAGTACTTTTGAAATGGAGTATTCCTAGAACAAGATGGTAGACAGGGAACTTAAGGGAGCCAATAAATGAGGGTTGGATTGAGCAAGAGAGAAAGAGTTCAGGGAAGGGATCTGGTTGTGCGGACCAGTGTTTGAGCTTTGCCCAGAATTTACGCCCTTGCAGCCTCTGAGCTACCCTCCATATCTGTTCATCTTAGCTTTTCTTCGTTACCCGGTGGGGTAGATCTTTCCAAAGCAGGTGTACATTCTCCTTCAGGAGGACAGGCTATGATAAGTGTGAAAATACAAGACGTCGAAATCTCAGGAGGAGCCTATACATTCATTATTGTCCTGACTTCACCCTACTGTCCTTTTTTTGGTGGAGACAGGGTCTCAAATACTTTTCATTTTCATATATCTTGAGCCCTTGAACCCTTGGGAGGAGGGAGCTCAGAACCCTGGAGAAGTAAGGAGTCTCTGATATGCCCATAACTGTGGTCTTTTCCATTTGGCAGTAACGAAGGGGTTTATAAAAGGTTTGTTGTTTGCGAAACAATAGGGGGAGAAAGCTCAGATTTTTTTCAAGTCCTTTTATGAGTTTATTTAGAAAATGAAAAAAAAATTATAATTTTAGTGAAAGACGTGGGAAGACGGAATGTGTGCATGAAACACACAATGAAACTACTGTCCCCTTCCATGAATCCGAGATCACTGAAACATTATCAGTAAATCATGAACATGCTTTTTGTTTCAGTTTTTGTTCTTAGAAATCTGTGGGAAGTTCTTTTTGGCTTTAGATGCTAGGAAATTTTGCTGTATCTGGGAACGAAAAGTCTTGAGGCCAAGTTTGGGGTGAGTGGAGTGGCAGTGGGAGGATTATGGCGGGGTCTGACCTGTGGCCATGCTGAAGCTCACTGGCCAGAGCCACCTGGAGCCCAGGTAAGCGGGTTCACTGATACTCATTACAGCAGTCTGGATTCTACACACTGTGGGCAGATTCCACACACCACGGGGAAATGGAAGGCGCAGCACATCACTGATGAGAAAATATGGGCGGGATTGGTGGTAGGTGATTTTGGAGATGTTCACGAAAGCCATGGTTTGCTCTGGAAGAATGTCGTGAAGCAGGAGACAATTTTGTGTGTGTGTTTTTGTTTTTGAGGCAGGGACTCACTTTGTCACCCAGGCTGGAGTACAGTGGCACCATCTTAGGTCACTGCAACCTCCGCCTCCCATGCTCAAGCGATCCTCCCTCCTCAACCTTCCCAGTAACTGGGATTACAGGTGTGCACCATCAAATTTTCAATTTCACCAGCTAATTTTTCAATTTTTGGTAGAGACAGGTTCTCACTATGCTGGTCTCGAACTCCTGGGCTCAAGCGATCTTCCTGCCTCTGCCTCCCAAAGTGCTGGGATTACATGCGTGATGCCCCGTCCTATTCCAATGCCTTTTATTAGGCAGTGGGAGAACAGAGAGGGCTTACATTGTAACTGGTAAAGGAGCAGTTACTCTGTTTGGCCAGGAGAGGGGGATGTGTGGTCATCTTGTGATTTGCACGCTGCTCTTGTTTTTTTCTGTGCTCTGGCATGATTATGACGTGGTCTTGTTTTTACCCCACTCAGTCACAGTGACAGAATAGCCTTGTTTGGTATTTAGTGCTCTGTGAAGCTTCTTCTTTTCAGTAGGAAACACGGCCTAGCTGGGAGTGCCTGGCTGCTCTCAGCTGATGCCTGTCAGGCCTGCTTTTTTTCTTTCTCTGAGCCCTCATTCTCTTTCAGGTTTTTTGTTTGTTTGTTTTTGAGATGGAGTCTCGTTCTGTCACCCAGGCTGGAGTGCAGTGGCTCGATTTCTGCTCACTGCAACCTCTGCTTCTGGGGATCAAGTGATTCTCCTGCCTCAGCCTCCCCAGTAGCTTGGGATTACAGGTGTGCGCCAGCACACCTGGCTAATTTTTGTATTTTTAGTAGAGACAGGGTTTCACCAAGTTGACCAGGCTGGTCTCAAACTCCTGAACTCAGGTGATTCTCCTGCTTCTGCCTCCTAAAGTGCTGGGATTACAGCTGTCTCTACAAAAAATACAAAAATTAGCTGGATGTGGTGGTGTGCACCTGTAATTGCAGCTACTCGGGAGGCTGAGGCAGGAGGATCACTTGAGCCTGGGAGGTGAAGGTGGCAGTGAGCCGAGATGGCACCACTGTACTCCAGCCTAGGCGACCGAGTGAGTCTCAAGCAAGCAAGCAAATAAATAAATAAATAAAACAGATTTTTTTTTTTGGAGACAGAGTATCAATCTGTTGCCCAGGCTGGTGTGTAGTGGCACAATCTCGGCTCACTGCAACCTCCATCTCCTGAATTCAAGTGATTCTCCTACCTTAGCCTCCCAGTAGCTGGGATTACAGGCACACACCACCATGCCTGGCTAATTTTTGTATTTTTCGCAGAGATGAGGTTTTACCATGTTGGCCAGGTCTCAGATTCCTGGGCTCAAGTGGTTCACCTGCCTCGGCCTTCCTAAGTGGTGGGATTACAGGCATGAGCCACTGTGTCTGGCCCTTACAACACAACATTTTAAACACAATAATACACACTGTGACATACCTTCCAATAGCTGTCAGACGGATGATGTCATCATGTCTTTAACATCTGGAAAAGAGCAATGTACATGTGAGAGTATGTGAGTAAATGAGGCAAATAACTTTTTTAAAAAGTAATTAATTTATTTTTTAAAATAGAGGTAGGGTCTCACTATGTTGCCCAGGTTGGTCTTGAATTCCAGGGCTCAAGTGATCATTCCACCTCGTTTTTTTTTTAAACAGGGTCTCACTCTGTCACCCAGGCTTGAGTGTGGAGGCGTGATCATGGCTCACTGCATCCTCAACTTCCAAGGCTCAGGTGATCCTCCCACATCAGCCTCCTGAGTAGTTGAGACTACAGGCACTCACCACCATGCCCAGCTAATTTTATATTTTTTGTAGAGATGGGGGTTTCACCATTTTGCCCAGGCTGGTTTCGAACTTCTGGCTTCAAGTGACTGCCCACCTTGGTCTCCCAAAGTGCTGGGATTACAGGCATGAGCCAGCACGCCCAACCGCAAATAACATTTTAATATTATTATAAAAATTGTCTTGGCCAGGCGTGGTCGCTCATGCCTGTAATTGCAGCACTTTGGGAGGCCGAGGTGGGTAGATCACCTGAGGTCTGGAGTTTGAGACCAGCCTGACCAATATGAGACAGAGACAGCTGACTCTCTCTCAAAAAAAAAGTCCTACAACCTTAGGGGTCAGACCACACTTTTAAGAATCGCTATCTTAGGTGGTTCTAGAGAAATAGAGTACAGGACATTTACTGGGGAGTCCCTCAGCATCAATACCTTGGGGATGTTAAGGAAAGAGGATAGACAGAAGGAGAAGTGGAAATATAATGCAGTCTCACAATGAGCTCTGGAACTGGGGCAGCCCTTCAGAGTCGTGCACCTTGTACAAGGGGTCCAGGCACTTTTACGCCCACATTGTCCAGTCATTGGGTGTGGTCCACTGCTGAGAGGTGGAATAACCTTGGCCTCTTGGAGGGAGCAACAGGGCTCTCCTTGGCCCTTTAACAATTCGCTGGTATGGAGTCAGCTGAGGGCCCTGAGCCACCAACACTCTCTGCAGCTGGTGGATTGTGTGTCTCAGTCCCACATGGAATGATCAGGGCAGTGCACCACAGCATCCACCTCCGTGGGGAAATGAGGATGGAGCTGGACAGTTTGCTGGAGTGGGGAGGCACAGAGAAGAAAAGGCGTTGGTGCTGGACACAGTATAAACAAAAGGGGGAGGAATCTTTCTTTGTTTCTCACGTACAGCTTGCAGTTCTGTCTGAAGTTGGTCCCTGAGTTCACGTTCAAGAAATCCCATTATTTCTCCTCCTCTGCATAAGAATTCCTTGAACCAATGGGAACATTCTCATGGATTTCTCTAGAGAAGTTTCTACTTTGGGCAGCTGGAGGAGAATGAGGGAGAGCAGACATCTGGGGAAGCTGAAGTGTGGGTGGCAGAGATAGTGACAAAGGAAGTGAATGAGAGGAACAAAGATCAAAAGATGGGAGGAGGTCAGGAGGTTACAGGCAAGGGCAAGTAGGCAGGGGCCTACTGTACTGGTGCACTTGCTCTGTTACACCCGAGCGAGTACAGGAATGCGCCACACTCTGAGATTGCATTATGAGTCCTTTACTGCTGGCGACCGAGAGACGGCTAATGCCCAAAATTCTCTCGGTTCCGAAGAAAGAGTTAGGTGGTTTTTTATACCCCAGTTTGAAAAGGGAGGTGCGGGGGAAAGCTTGCTGACGGGATTTTTCACAAAAGCAGAGCAAGCAAGAAGTTAAAAGATAAACTAGTATATAAGAAGTAAACAGTACCAGGTGTAGGGGCTTAAGCTGCCACAAAAGACCTACACTTACAGATATGGGGCTCTGGGTACTTCACATCATCTTCGTTCCCAGGGTCTGCTGGCACCGCCTGACTCGGTATCTTATGAGCAAATGCATTCCTGGATGTGCCTGGTGTCAACCTGCCCCAGCCACACACTACAGTTACATACTTAATGGGGGAAAACAACTGTAAGTGAAGAAGCTAAGATGGAGTTTGTCCGGCTTCTTCAATTAAGAATGACTTGGTTAGGCCAACACAAGGTAAGTTTACACAGCTCACCTGGGCAGGGTGTTGACAGGCTGTTATGGGGATGTTGGGGCATCTAGAAAATATGGAGCTGAAAATTTTACAATATACATTTGAATCTTTGAGGGGCATGTCTTTTTAGAACCTTTTGGAATACCAGGAAATATTTTAAGAGTCTTTTCCTCTTCTGGCTGGGGGCAGTGGCTCATGCCTGTAGTCAAAGCACTTTGGGAGGCCAAGGTGGGTGGATCACTTGAGGTCAGGAGTTCAGGACCAGCCTGGCCAACATGATGAAACTCCAACTCTATTAAATATACAAAAAATTACCCAGGTGTGGTGGCATATGCCTGTAATCTCAGCTACTCCAGAGGCTGAGGCAAGAGAATTGCTTGAGCTGGGGAGGCGGACGCTGCAGTGAGTGGAGATTGCACCCTGCAGTCCAGCCTGGGCGACAGCGAGACTCTGTCTGAAAACAAAACAAACAAGAGTCTTTTGCTCCTTTGTGACCATAATTAGTTCCTAAGAACATGCGGTGGGAAGGTTTCTTCATTCAGGTTGTCCCTCTCAGCCAAATCTCAGCCTCTTCAGGTCCGGGTACCCTTCGCATTCTACCTTCCCCTCTTCCCCCCTTTCTCTGTGCTGGTTCCCCTCCGCTTTTCAGCCCTTCTTCCAGGCCCTGCAGCCCTGGCTCTAAGCAGTCTCCCACTAAAATCTCTAGTTCTCTGTTGTTAATAAAAACTTTAGACAAATTAAATTCAGCCGAGTTTAATTTGAACAAAGAACAATTTGCAAACCATCAGAATGATCGGGCAGCCGTCAGAGGTTCGGAAAGCTCCGTTCCACCAGGGAAGGGAGGTACAGAAACAGCTTCACTGGCTACAGCTCCGAGCTGGCCTTGTTTGAACATCGCCTGATCAGTTGGCTGCCTGTGGGTTACGGAGGTTTGGCTACTGGGATCGGCTGAGACTCAGCTATTTATAACAACAGTAACCTCCGGTGCCTTAGGCTTTCCGGTGGTTTACACGTGCAGTTAGGTTGCAGTTCATTATTAAGGGCTCAGGTAAGGAGCCATCACTCAGGCTAAATGTACGCATATTTCATACCAAATTTAGTTTAATTTAACACAATCATTTCCGCGTTAGTTAAGATTCTCTGATCCAGAATAAATGAAAAGAAAGCATATGCTGGACACTCACTCTGAGAAACAGAGAATCCTCTTTGTAGAAATTAGTTTTTTTATTGGCTCAGAGGTACCATTTCTCATCGGTTGCTGGGCAGAAACCGCTGGAGAAGATTAGAATGAAAACTGAAACTACACTGAATTGTACACATTGACAAAACATGTCAGCCCTACCTCTCAAAGTGTTTGGAGCTCTCGGTGTTTACCTGTTTGAATCATTAATGTGTGTGTTACCTGTATAATCAGCATTTCTTCACATTCAGCCGTCTTTTATGTCATAACAGAAGTATCACGAGAACTGAGTGGAAACATAAAAAGAGTTTAAGAACTGAAGAGAAGATGGGTATTAATTAAAATGAAACTGGAAGTTTGCAGACCTCCCCTTGCATGTGATTGTTACATAGATGATATCATCTTTCGCCACAGATCCAAATGAAAGTATAACAGAATGAAAACTAGACCTATCACATCTATTTCAGAACCTCCAAAATTCAGGTCTCAGATCCATTACTGAATTATAGAATTTTCTGGTATCTAGAGGTAGTGCTGTCAGTAACTGTATATTTTACATTTTTCACAAAATTATTTTGGGTTGGCTGAGCCTCTTTATTCACCTCTGGCTCCTTATTTGTGCCACACTGTATTTTCTCGTGTATTTGTTTCTCACTCTGACAATGAAATAAGTTCTGAGATTAACCTTTGGGTAGAGTGTAGGGATGTCTTTGTAAGGGGTCCTTGCTACAAACCTTGGGACCTAGCGATAGCAGACAGGACGAAGTCAGATGCCTAGGTAGGCAGCGATGGGTCCCCGGTGAAACCCCACCTCCAAGCCAGAGGCAGTTTAAAGCCTGAAAGCCAAGCTGCAAGTTAAATCCTCAGTCTGGAGTGAGAACTTGTCTTCCAGTTTGGCACTTTCCTCTGATTGGTCCCCATTCTTCAACTACTTTACATATACCCACCCTTTCCTAATTGGTTTTCTACACTGTGTGGCCACCTTTGAATGGTGTCTTCATTGTAACCTTTTTTTTGCATACCCGCAAACCAGTCAGCATGCACTTTCCTCTCTGAGTCCATAAAAAAGGCCCAGGGAGCACAGAGGGAACTTTCCCTCCTTCAGAGAAGGGTGCCAGTGCCAGCATCCCCTCTCCGCAGAGAGCTGTTCAGTCTCCTAATAAAATTCTTCTCAGCCCTCCTCACCCTTCGATGTCCAGTGTATCCTCATTCTTCTTGGGGGCGGTACAAGAGCCTGGGAATGGTCGCTGAACGTGAGTACAAGCTACAATGCAGGTGAGCTGGGGCACACCAGTGTAGCCAAGCAAGGCTTGGGTGGGGTGTTGCTGGCTGGAGGTCCCCTGCTTGCAAAGTGACCAAGAAGAAAAATCCCACATCACTACTACTTGCAACTTTATTTGGGTCACAAATAAAATATAAAGGCCTATCCTTTGTTTATGTCACAAAACAGATCCTCAAAGTAATTACAATTCCTAGGACTTAGCTGAACCCTTGGCTGATAGAAAGTGGCATTACAACAGTTTGCATTTAAGCTCTGAGGTAGAGCTGGATGGCTGCTTGTGCAATATCCAAATCCACTTTTATCAGTAATGAAACCCCATATTCTTCTCTTTTTCTTTTTTCTTTCTTCTTCCTAAGAAAACCCCATTTTCTTATTGCAAACTGTCCATCTCATTTGTAGACAGGGGAAGACAAGGGACTAAGTTTGAGCCAACTGCTTGAGGGTGAAAGTTTTGTTTATCAGAGAGATTATTTTAGGGGAGGCTAAAACAGCTGGGAGACCCTTACACTCCCCCTACTTTCTTCCTCTTGTCTAGAATATGGACTTTGGAGCTGGGGGTGCAGCAGCCCTTTTGTAACCATGAGGCACCATTGAAGATGCAAGCCATATGCTGAGAGAGAAGAAAATAAAGAAAGAACTAAGTGGACTTGGATGACATTTCAAGCTCTCAGATCAGCCCTTGATGGCCACTATCCATATTTATTGACATAAAAAGAAGTTCTCATTTTGTTAAAGCCAATGGGATTCAAGACTCTGTTACTAATAACAAAATGCAATTCTTCCCTCTACTCACTACAGTTTATAGGAAAGTTGAGTATAGAATTCAACTCCAAACATATAGGAAAGTTGAGTGTAGAATTTCTATCTCTAGCCTTGCAGTCTCACCTAGACTCTTGGTTATTCAACGGACTACTCTGCATCTCCATGTGTATCTCTAATAGGCTCCTCAACCTTAACGTATCCACAACTGAACCTTTGGTGTTGCACCACCCCCATCTGGCTTCTTGTGTCTCAGTTTCCCCATCTCAGAAATTGACAACTTCATCTTTCCAGTTATTCCTTCCTTCCTTCCTTCTTTCCTTCCTACCTTCCCTCCCTCCCTCTCTCTTTCTCTCTTCCTCGAGACGTTAAGTTTTGCTTTGCTACTCAGGCTGGAATGCAGTGGTGCAATCTCCGCTCACTGCAACCTCTGCCTCCTGGGTTAAGTGATTCTCCTGCCTGCCTCAGCCTCCTGAGTAGCTGGGACTACAGGCGCACACCACCACACCCAGCTAATTTATGTGGTTTTAGTAGAGATAGGGTTTCACCATGTTGGCCAGGCTGGTCTTGACTCTTGACCTGAAGTGATCCACCCGCCTCAGCCTCCCAAAGTGCTGGGATTACAGGTGTGACCCACCATGACCAGCCCATCTTTCCAGTTTCTAGGACTACAACCAGAGAGCCACTTTTCTCCTCTGCCATGTGAGGACACATTTAAAAGGCTGTGAACAAGGATGCACACTCTTACCAGTCACCAAACTGCTGGTGCCTTGATCTTAGGTTTCCCAGTCCCCAGAGTGCAAGGAAAAAAATTTTAGTTGGTTATATATCTTGGTCATATGTAACCAACTAAAATTTTTTTCTTGCACTCTGGGGACGGGGAAAGTTGGACAGACTAAAACACACACATAAACAACTCTGTTTTCTGCCTTAACAAATTAGATATTTAAATATATGATCCTGATTCTTCCCATAATGTGTCATTTGTAACTTGAGTAATATAATTTCTGACTACTTAAAAAGCTTTTTGTGCCGGGTGCGGTGGCTCACACCTATAATCCCAGCATTTTTGGAGGCTGAGGCAGGTGGAACACCTGCGGTCGGGAGTTCAAGACCAGCCTGACCAATATGGCGAAACCTTGTCTCGCTAAAAAATGATGGTGCATTCCTGTAATCCCAGCAACTTGGGAGGCTGAGGCTGGAGAAACGCATGAACCCAGGAGGCGGAGGCTGCGGTGAGCCAAGATGGCGACACTGCACTCCAGCCTGGGCCGCAGGAGTGAAACTATGTCTCAAATAAATAAATAAAATAAAATAAAAAAAAAAAAGCTTTTCATTCAATCCCATTTTACAACTGGATTACTGAGTTGTTTAAGATCCATTAAGCCAGCATTTTAGATGCCTAATTGTATTAGTCAGGGTTCTCCAGAGAGACAGAACCAAAAGGGGATAAAGATATGACACGGCGTTTATTACAGGAACTGGCTCATGCAATTATGTAGTCTGAGAAATCCCATGACAGGCCAACTGCAAGCTGGAGACCCTGAGATTCTGGCAGTGTGGCTCAGTCAAGGTGGGAGAGCCTGAGAACCAAGCTGATGGCATAACTCGGTCCAAAGACCAAAGGCCTGAGAAGCTCATGGCCACTGGTAAACGTCTCAAAGACCAGAGAGCCTGGAGTTGTGATATTGAAGAGCAAGAGAAGAGTGTTGAGAGAGAGAGAGAGAGAGAGAGAGAGAGAGAGAGAGAGAGAGAGAGAGAGGGAAAGAGGGAGGGAGAGAGGGAGAGAGAGAGGGAGATAGAGAGGGAGAGAGAGAGAGGGAGAGAGAGGGGGAGGAGATAGAGAGGGGAGAGGGAGAGAGAGAGACAGAAAGAGAGAGAGAGAGGGAGATGGAGGGGGGGAGATAGAGAGAGAGAATGAGAATTCACCCTTCCTCTGCTTTTTGCTGTTGGGCCCACAGCTGATTAGAAGTTGCCCAAAGATACTGAGGGCAGATCTCTTCCAATCAGTCCACTGACTCACATACCCCTTTCCCCTGGAGACAGCTGCAGAGACAAATCCAGAATTAATTCTCCATCCGCTGTCTGTATTCCTTAACCCAGTCAAGTTGACACCTAAAATTAACCATCAGATTCATTTACTTCCTGAATCCCCTACCCCTAAACCCTCAAATATGGTTTGAGGATTCCTGGGGTTGGTGGGAGGACGGGGGTCTCTTACATACAGTTTTGTTTTATTTTCCCTTTGTTTGAGATGGAGTTTTGCTCTTTCACCCGGGCTGGAGTGAAGTGGCATGATCTCAGCTCACTGCACCCTCCACTCCCACCACCCTGCTAGGTTTCAGTGATTCTCTTATCTCAGCCTCCTGAGTAGCCGGGAGTATAGGCTCCCACCACCGCTAATTTTTGGATTTTTAGTAGAGATGGGTTTTGCCATATTGACCAGGCTGGTCTTGAACTCCTGACCTCAGGTGATCCACCCGTCTTGGCCTCCAAAAGTGCTGAGATTACAGGCATGAGTCACTGTGCCTGGCCCATTTTGTTTTGATTTTTTGTTTTTTGACAGGGTCTCACTCTGTTGCCTAGGCTGGAGTGCAATGGCAGGATCATAGCTCACTGCAAACTCCAGCTCCTGGTTCAAGCAATCCTCCATTCTGGTCTTCTGAGCAGCAGGGACTTCAGGTGTGCACCACTACACCTAATTTTTTTTTTTTTTTTTAAATAGACAGGGTCTCACTTAGTTGGCCCGAACTGATCTATTTTGAAGGAGTCTGCAAAGTTAATAATGTTGTTTTCATGTTAATAATAAAACACAGTTTGTTGTTTTTAATCTCAGTCTGTCACTAGGATAGTTTTCTTTGCCTATATAGACTATGATATCCCAACAGATCAAATATAAAGGCAGATATGATAATCCTTTCATGTTCTCTTAAGCAAGACATTAGATTTGGAAAAATATAATCAATGCCACACTTCTCAATAGAATTTATTTTGCTTTGGATGCCATACTTATTTTTTCACAAACATTCTACTTATATTAACCTATAATTGGCTTATTCATGCTATTTAATATAAATTAACAAATACATTAAAACATTTCTCAGTTTCAATTTCAAATGCCATATATACCAACAAATATCTACCAAAATAAAAAAAAAAGCTATTTGGAATCCTCCATCATTTCAAAGTGTTTAAAGACATCATGAGCCCAGGAAGTGTGAAGTCACTGGTGCCCCCACTGAACCGGAACGCTGAGGTAGATCTGGTCCAGGACTGCCCTGCTCCACCAGGACCTCAAATCTCAACCACACTCGAGGACAGAGTACTGACTCCTTGTTTACTGCAGGGGCCCCTGAGCCCAACCACACCCACATGTCCATGTTCTTCATTCATCTTCATCCCAGGCCTGTGGGTGTGTGCTCTGGAAACTCTGGGGCTGGGTGGAAATGAGCCATCATCTCCTGGGACCCCTCAGCTGTTATGGTGGGACTCGGCCACCCTCACAGCCTTGGTCCCTCCCAGCTCTCTGGTTCCACTTCCTCTAGCTCTGACCTGGATATCTGGTTCCTTCTACCCTCCGGTGGTCATGTGGATTCCTCTCTTCTCCCACATCCTGGCCAACCCTGTTGGCTTCATTCCAGGTCCACAGCATCTGGTGCCAACTGGCATACTGGGCTCAATGTCGTCACCCTGATGCTAAACAGCAGGTTCGCTGCCAATCAGCTTCTCACACTTTCTTCCTGGCTGGGAGCTGTGTAACAACTAGCTCCCTAGGCCTGGATCCCGTCCCACAGTTACAAGGAAATGAACTGCTAAAGCCACAGCCTCCTGAGGAGGTGAACAGGGGCTGAGGCCTGCAGGGGGTGTGAAACAGGCAGCTGGAAGATGTTCTCTTATGTGACCAGAGCAGGGAGGGCGTGTCTTCCACCAGGGGCGTTGTGCGGTGGCTGCTGATGGCCAGGGCTCGTCTACCTGGCTGTGAGACCAGGGAATTGATCCTGTGGGCTGTGGTGGGTCCCTGCCCTGTGAAGTGTCAGGCCCGCTTCAGGCACCGTGACCCCATCGGCTCCTGTGAGTGCGGGGCAGATGAAGATGGGGCTGTCATCAGACCCTAACCTGAAGAAGGGCCTCATAGGCCTGGAGAAGACTGAACGGGGGCATGTGTAGATGTGTGATCTGTCCCTCATGTTGTAGAAGGAGACGTCTCCAGCTTCATAGTCCAGGAAGACGCCCACCCGGCAAAGGGACTCCTTCAAAGGGAGTATCCTCTCAGGGGAGGACAGGGCCCGGTACTGGTTTCCAAACATCTCCAGGGTCCAGAAGCCATTCTCAGGAAGCAGCAGGAACTCCCCTTTCCTCTCAACACTGTCTCTACACACCCCCACAGTCCACACCATCACGTTTTCCACTTCCACCTCCCAGTAATGTTTCCCAGAGGCGAAGCTCTCCCGGCCCAGGACACAAAGTTGACTGTCGAATCTCTCTGGGTTGTCCTGCACGCTCTGCCTGAATGGGCCCCGCCTCACACTTCTCCGGTCCTCTGACAGGAAGAGCTCGGGATGAGCGGTATCTGGGTCCAGGACCACATCGGCTGCAGAGGAAGTCTCAGGTTTAGGCCTGGGGTCTCAGGAACCCTGGGGATTGTGTGGTTCCTGGTTCCCAGAGAGGTCTCAGAAAGCTGCAGCGTGATCCCCATGTAGTGGCCACTCCCATGAAGGGGCCCTGATTCCAGGCAGCTCACACACTGAGATTCACTGAAGCTGCACTTCTATCTCCTCAGAGACAGAAGCAGTGCCCTCAGGTTAAGAAGAAATGGAGCTCTAAGAAATCCAGAAAGTTTGGCAAATGAGGCAAAATTAATCATTCTTACTTTCTCTCAGCATTCTAAGATGTGTTCCCTTTTCTATTGAAGACATATGATTTCTGGCCAGGCGTTGTCGCTCACGCTTATAACCCCAGAACTTTGGGAGGTTGAGGCGGGTGAATCACTTGAGGTCAGGAGTTCGAGACCAGCCTGGACAACATGGTGAAACCCCTTCTCTACTCAAATACAAAAATTAGCCAGGCGTGGTGGTGCATGCCTGTAATCTCAGCTACCCAGGAGGCTGAAGCATGACGACTGCTTGAACTTGGGAGTCAGATGTTGCAGTGAGTCCCAGATTGTACCACTGCACTCTAGCCTGGTTGATAGAGTGAGACTGTCTCCAAAAAGAAAAAAAAACCAAAATGAAGACATATGATCCTTGGGACTTTCTTTAGTTAGAAACTTTCCAGCTTGGCTCAAACCAGCACAGAAGCTTTACATCCCACTCCTCCTCTCCTCAATGGATGAACTGAGGTGAGTCTTTCCCTTCACAGTGGCCTGGAGGGTACTTCATTGGTACTATGTGTTCCTCTTACCAGACCACAACTGACTTAAACGACTGACAAGGGCACCCTTCAAAAAATAAAGAGGGAGAATACATGTCTCCAAAAGAAAACCTGCTGCCTGGGGTCTGTGGGCAAAGGTTGGGAGAAACAATTTCCATCCAGTTTTGCTTCAACAACTTGGGTCTGCAGTCTACAGGAATCACTTCTGTCGGTGCAAGAAATGCTCCAGACTCCAGGCATTCTGCAGGCCTCTCCCATCTGCATTTATTCTTACTTATCCAGTCTATCTTTCTATTGCGTTAAAACGATTTCCTCCATTCCCCAAGTTAATATGTCTGTTTATGACAATTTGCTATTTTGTCCCAAGTTGACAGTGGGAATTTTGAAATTCACCCAAAGAGGAAAGGTCCATGTGCCATGGTATCTGGTAAAGCCGGGACCCTGTGGTGCTTACGGGCAGAGGGGCAGAATCCCAAGATGGGAAGTGTGCACTGGGAACAGGCAACTGGGTTCTGTGCTCTCCCATTCACTTGTGGCTCCCACTCACCTGTGGCTCCCTGTGGCAGGCTATACACAGAGCCCTGGCAGGCTATACACAGAGCATGAGTGCTCTCTTAGGAGCAGAAAGGCATTTCTGGCCACCAATTGGTACACCCTTGTGTCAGGCTTACTATGTCACAAGAACGCTTGTGGCCTCTTCCCCACATGGGTTTTCGACTTTGCACAGTCTACACCATCTCCAGGATATAAATTGCTAAAATAGAAGAATTGTGTTTTTTCAAATTGATCCAGGATCAAAGAGCAACAACTACTGAAACGTAACTCCTGGGAAGGCTACTATACATGGGAAGCCTCTGGCAATTACACATTAATTACTCCACAAGAGAACGGATCCTGAGATGTAAACCGTAGGGTTGATTGAGAGCTGCCGGGATTCCCTGACAGAAGAGCCGCGGTGCATCATTGCTGGGACACTGTTGATGAACTGACCCGTTCCCTGCTGTCCCCACCTAGCCCTGGGCCCCCTGCTCTTCTCCTCTAAGGAGTCCTGTTAGCTGGCTACTGGGGAGAAAGCTGAGGTCTGAGGGAAACTCAGAGGCACTCACCAGCATGTAAGAATGTTCTTCTCCATCCTGCAGGGAGAGACAGAGGTGAATGCCATGAGATGCTGCTAACTGAGAACACAAATCGTGCACGCGGTAGTTCAGGAAAGGCCAAACTTACTCAGTTCTTCCTGAAGTTGCTCTGAAAAACAAACAAAATGATGAATTCAACAGAAGAACTAAGAGAAGCTAAGTTTAGAGTCAACAACGCAGGAACCCTCCTTTCTATGAACAGCAATATCTCCCTTCCCTCATGCCTAGGGCCTGTCAGAAACCAGAAAGGACACACGATCCGGTGGCTGAGCACTATCAGTACCTTGTTAGACTTGCTTTTGCTCAACCATTTACTACGTTATGGAGCCAGGTGAATGAATGCAATGCGGGCAGAACGAAAGAACACAAGCTCTCAGACATTCATTCCGAGGATGTGACAGTTCCCAGCCCTTGCTGCGGCTGCTGTGCGTTTCCTCTCTCTTCCCCACGATGGTACCTGGGAGAGTTGTGTCCTTTGTATAATGGTGAACTGTCCTCCTGCTGTTTTGCTTTTTTAATTAGAGACAGGGTCTCACTTTACTGTTCAGGTTAATCTCGAACTTTGGGCTCAAGTGATCCGCCTGCCTCAACCTCCCACAGTGCTGGGATTCAAGCCATGAGCCACCATACTCAGCCTCTTTTACCTTTTATTTGAAGTTCTGTCTCTTTTTCCACACGTTCTTTCTCCAGGTCCTTTGTAGCAATTTCTCTCATTTCGCGTTCAAACTCCTTTTCCCCCAACAGAATCCTTTTTTCCCTTTGGAGTTTGTTGATCCAGTAGATACACACGGCAATGGGTATCATCAGAACAAGCAGAGTGACAGGCAGGGCCACCACACAGGGAGACACGCTGGGCATGAAGGATTCTGAAAAGCAGCCAGAAATGTCCACTTAGTCTAAATAGAACATCTGGGGTGAGATCCCCTAGGAGCACATCTCAAGAGCTCCTCAGCTACCTGTTGTGTTGTTTCTCCCTCAGAACACTCAGACGGTGAAAGAGATGCTGGCTCACTGCTGGCCGACACCTCAGTGGCTTCCAGGCCAGGGCCCAGAGGCAGCAAACCAGAAACATCTGGAGTCAGCATGGGAAGGACCCGCCGTGCTCAGTCAGCACAGCCAGCACCCCGCCTCAAGCCACCATCACTCACACCTGGAATACTGCAGTGCCGTCCTTGTTCTGCCCTTACCATCGGCAGTCTGCCCTCTGCAGAGCAGCCCAAGTGAGATCATGTTAATCCTTTGCTCAAAACCTTCCAGTGCTTCCCATCTCACTCACTCTAAAAGTCAAAGTCTGTTTGTGGCTTATGATGCCATATATAACATGTCTTCATTCCTCTGTGAATTCATCTGCTCTCACTTCCTGCACTTACTCCATTTCAGCCACACCAGCATCACCTCCTGGGGGTCCTGGAAACTGCCAGAGATGTTCCTTCCCCAGGCCCTTTGCATCTGCTCTTCCTGTAGCTGGGTTGCTCAGTCCTTAAGTGTCTGATGGTTCCTTGTCATTGGATGGGATGGATCAACTCCCATCTTTACGGTGACGTCTTCCCTGACCCTCCTGTTCATAACTGCAAGGTCTCATGCCCCTGCCCCTCTATTCCCTCCTTGCTTAATGTTTCCTACAGACGTTCATCACCATCTGATAGAATATATATTTAATCACTGTTTTGCTCAGGCTGTGTTCATGAGGGAAGACATCTTCATATAATTTGTTCAATGATTTACTCTCAGTTTCTAGAACAGTGTCTTGAACATACGGTATGTTTCTTGAGCATTTGTTGAATGAATTATGAGTGTGTGTCAATAGGGAATTTCCCCAGCTCTGTCCTTTGGAAAATCACATGGGTAGGTAAGGATGGCAGCAGCATACAGGAACACTAAGTGTAGAGAGTCACCTTCCACACCACTCTCCATGTCTTATGGTCGTTTTCAGTGTTTAAAAATTGCTGACCAGGCATAGTGGCTCATGCCTGTAATCCCAGCACTTTGGGAGGCTGAGGTGGGTGGATCACTTGAGGTCAGGAGTTCAAGACTGGCCTGGCCAACAAGGGGAAATCTCATCTCTACTAAAAATAGAAAAATTAGCTGGGTGTGGTGGCATATGCCTGTAGTCCTAACTACTTAGAAGACTGAGGTATGAGAATCACTTGAACCCGGGCGGCAGAGGCTGCACTGAGTCAAGACGACACCACTGCATGTCACCCTGGGTGGCAGAGCGCGACTCTGTCTTGAAAAAAAAAAAAATGTGCTGCAGCATGAGGACCTTAACAGAAAAAAAAAAAAGACCATGTTCACCCCCAGAGAAGAGGCTCCTACTCCTGAGTGCTGGGACTCTTTGATTCTCCCTTTGTGGCAAGGGGAGAGGCCTCAGCTCAGCTGCAGCCTCCAGCTCCTCAGGGCCCAGGACCATTCCACCCACACTGCTGTCCCACGCCTGCTCTGGGCTCCCTCTGTGTGCTGAGGACCCCCACGCACTCCATGAGTCTCAGAGGGCAGAGAACTCACCTGGAATAAAAATGACACTTTCTTTCTTCCGGCCGAGCAGGGTGTTGTTGACAGAGCAGGACATGTTCCTCACGGACCTGTCTCTGATGATCACAGCTGTGGTGACCATGAAGAGGCCGTCTGCATCATGGGTGGAGACCTCCTTCAGGGCAGGCACGACCTCGCCGGAGGGGTCCCTCCACAGCACGAGGGGCTTCGGGTACCACCCTCTGGATATGCACTCCACCAGGATGCCCCCATCCTCGTGGCCCCTCATTTCAATCAGGGGCTCAGAGCCCAGTCCTGGGGAGAGATACCTGGGCTCAGCTAAGAGGCAGTGGTGTGTCAGTACCTACTGCAGCTGTTCTGTGAAGGGAGAAAGTGAAGGAAAAAAAGACAGAGGTAGGAAGCAAGAAAGAAGAAGGAGGAAAAAAGCGTGAGGGTAAGGAACAAAGCACCCTGATGCTGGAGACACCAGGAGACCAGTGGCCACATGAACTGAGCTCTCTAAGAGGAAAGGATCGCACTGCACCCTTTCCTTTGTGGTCCACCTGCAGGCCCCATCAAAGCACCAAGCATCTATCTGTTTGCTATAAATGCTTGTTCTATTTATGCTGCCACACTAACTTTCTCACTTCAAGGTGGGTTGTCGACTCCAACTTGAACAGACAGCTTGTGGATTTCACTTTCTGCTCCTGAGATGACTTCTCAGCAGACCTCAGCTTCCAGAAGCTCTACAATAATAACAAGAAGGACAAAAATCTGCCAGGCGGGCAGAATCCTAAGAAACCTTTTGACCAAAGACACTGACCCTTCTGTCTAGTTCAGAACTTCACATAACCACCGCTCTCTAACCCGTAGGAGGTGATGGTTTGTAGGAGCTTCAACATGCTGGTCTGCAAAGCCACCTCTACTCCTAATTCACGCTGTTTACCTCCCAGAGGCTCCATCCGTTAGGCAATGCCTCTTTTGTTTTCCTTGTGCCTTTTTCGAGACAGAATTTAACTGTGTTGTCCAGGCTGGAGCACAGTGGCAAAATATCACTGTGCCCTGTACTCCTGTGCTCAAGAAATCCTCCCACTTCAGCCTCCCAACTAGCTGGATCACAGGTATGTTCCACCATGCTTGGCTACCATTTCACTTTTCTGTAGAGACAAAGCCTCACTGTGTCGCCCAGGCAGGGCAATTTTCTTAAAGTACTCTGAGAACATCAATTTATTAGAAAGATCTGGATGATGCAGGGATTAAGACAACCATACCACATTTTCAGTATCAGAGATCATCACCAAAAATCCTAAGAATCCACACTCGCCCTAACTACAATAACTACAATCCATCTTTAAATGAATCTTCAATAAAAGTGAACACCAGGTAAGAAAGAGCTGCAGAAGCATCATCCTGGGATACCTTTCAGCCGTGTGTGATCATCCAAACTTCTCAATAATTCCTATGTAAAGTCTCCCAACCAATTTTACCAAAGACAGGAAATTAAACCAGTAACAAGCCTAGTGCTTTGGTTCAATTTAATTTAAAAAAAATGCTTTTACACAGTCTCACTGTATGACCTGGGCTGGGGTGCAGAAACGTGATCATGGCTCACTGAATCCTTGACTTTTGAGGCTCGGGTGATCCTCCCCCCTCAGCCTCCCAAGTAGCTGGAAATACAGGCATGCACCACCATGCCCAGCTGTGTGTGTGTGTGTGTGTGTGTGTGTGTGTGTGTCTTTGCAGAGATTGGGTTTTGCCATGTTGCCCAAGCTTACCTTAATTTTTTCTTTTTTTTTTTTTGAGACAGAGTCTTGCTCTGTCACCCAGGCTGGAGTGAAGTGGTGAGATCTCAGCTCCCTGCAACCTCTAACTTCTGGGTTCAAGCAATTCTTGTGCCTCAGCCTCCCAAGAAGCTGGAATTACAGGCGCACTCCACAAAACCTGGATAATGTTTTTATTTTTTCAGTAGAGATGGGGTTGCACCATGTTGGCCAGGCTGGTCTCAAGTAATCCACCTGCCTCTGCCTCCCAAAGTGTTTGTATTACAGGTGTGAGCCACTGTGCCTGGCCCAAATATACCTTTTAAGGCATAATACACTAACCCCAAGACTGATGTAATCACTTAACGTCATTTTAACAAACTGCTAGAAATTACAGTTTAAATGCATTTTTATGTTGAAGCCTTCCCTATTACCTCCCAGCGAAATTCTCAGTCTTTCACTATGGAGTTAGCAGGAATTATAGAAACAGAGCAAGACTCCATCTCAAGAAAAGGGCACGGTTCAACGCTAAGGCAGGCATAAGATTTCTCTTCCGAGATTCCCCATTTTCCCCTGCTCATGGCCTCAGCGGAATTCCGCATGTGCTTCTCAAGAGGTGAAGCCCACGGCTTAGCAGGGCAAATCCACTTGTGCAGCCCTTGTGCAGAAGGAAAAATTTTTCCGTGGAATTCCCTTACCACAGAGACAGTGTCCCTGTGGAATCTCCCTGTGGAAAGGAGATTCCAGGCAAAAATCTGCTGATCTGTTAAGGAAGAAACTTTCCCAAAGAGTCACACTGTGCTAAAGTAACAAAGCAAAAGGAAGCAACACACCTGCCACCACGAGGCGCAGGATGGCCTCATCGGAGGACCTGCCTTCTTGGAAGTAACAGCGGTAGGTGCCGTTCTCCTGGGCTGTGACGTTGTGTATGACCAGGGCCACGCTACCCCTGCTGACGTCCTTGCTCACAAAGGTGGTTCTTCCTCGGTACTCCTCCATCTGCTCCTCTGTTCTCTCTCTCCTTCCCTTATACACAAACACTGCTGGGGAGAAGTGAGACCGGAACCACCGCACCTCCATGTCCTCAGCATTTTTCTCGGGGGACAGATGGCAGCGTAATGTCGTGTTTTCTCCCACCATGGCCAAGATGGGGTCAGTGGGCCCCACCACAGTCAACTGGGCTGTTCAACAGAGGGGTAGAGTCAGACAAGGACACCAGTCACTACATCTCTAAGGCAGGAAAGGAAGCAGATATTCCAGGGACAAACACGTTCTTTCCACAGCCACAGAGTGTTCTTGGCCTGGGATTTCTGGGGACCAGCAGCTGTGGCTAGTTGACAGCACCCCCGGGAGCAGTAACTATGAAAAGTGCTTCTGCTTCACCAAGGAAACACCGAGCCCGCCCTGAGCACCCTCTGCCCACCCTGTGCCCCTGAGGAGATTTTCCTCCATTCCCCAGTCTAGCGCTGTGCCTGAGTATAGTGTAAACTTCAAGGTTTAAAGTTTCAAAACGTTGACTATCTCGTTGGTAATATGGTGTATTAAGCATTTACATATTCATATTTGACGATTTGGGGTGAAACAGAGTATAGTATACAGATTTATTTCATGTTTTTTACTTTTTAAAGTTAAAATGTAATTTTTCTGAAAATTTGCTATTGTACCTGCACTTGACCTTTGTGCCTGGCTGTACTTCTTTTGGACAGGGCTGGGAAACTCAGTGCGCATGCTCAGAACGAAAGGCTAAGTCAACAGTCCCACAGTCCTTCTTTCCCTTTGCAGACTGCAGTGTGGACGTTCCTTTCCCGTAGGTGACAGCAGCACGTGGCACACATTCCTACCTGAGACCAGCGCACACAGGCTGAGGAGGAGGAGCAGGAGGGAGGCCGGCAGGGAGAAGGGCAGGGCAGCAGCAGGTTCCATGAGCACCCGGGCAGGCAGGGACCAGAGACCTGGGGTCACAGAGGAGAATCGGCCTAGGAGTCTCGGCACCTCAGTGCTGGTCGGACCCAACCTCTCCTGTCACTCAAGTAGGTCTCATCGGCCCCCAACTCCAGCGAGTCCCCTGCATGTGAAGGCTCAGGTATCTCCCGAGAGAGGGATTCCCTAAACATCCCATGGAATAAGCAGTCGGGTAGAAGATGAAGCGGGCCGTTTCCCGCCCTCCTCCACGCACTTCTCTGGCCAGAGTCCGCTTTCTTCTGTGGTCGCTGGATTCTCCCACACCCTCCGCCCTTCCCTTCCCTTCCCCTCCCCGCACCCAGGCCGGGCCACGCGAGGTAAAGCCAGGCGGGGCCGCGGCCCTCCAGAGCGGCCCCCCCACCGCGGGCCCCCCCACCGCGGCCCCCCCACCGCGGGTCCCCCCACCGCGGGCCTCCCCTCTCCCAGGCCCCGCTCTCGCGTCCACAGCGGACGCCGCTCCCCCGCTACCGCCCCGGAGCTGTGGCGCCTCCCCTCCCCTCCCTACCTTGTAGAATTAACGTGGCGCCTTCTTTTCTCCTCTGGTCCTCAAATGACGATTCTCCAGCCGCCCTTCCTTTCTGCAACCTGCCCAGGGGCACAGGCACTGCTAAACACAAAACCATCTCCAAAGAGGAGCAACAAACACTCTTCTCTTTCCCCTAAGACGCCATGTCTGGAGCTGCTGATCCGCTGGTCCCGCCCAAGAGTTTCCTAAATAGTTTCGAGCCAGGATTGGTCGCGTGTAAGTCAATCAGCCAATGGCGTCGAGCCTTATTTCTCAGCAGTTACTAGGTAGAATACACGGAATCAGAAATCTCAAGCAGCAAATTACCTTTTGAGATGATGGGGTCTTTTTATTTACCTTTTCTTTGTTCAAAATCAAGATTCTCTTTCTTACCCTCTTTCTCTTTTTCTCATTGTTTCTCTCTCTTTCCGTCTCTCTCTCTCAAGCTTTGAGATTCCCCGAGGTGTGCCCCGAGGTTGCTGGCTCTGCGGGTATCCACGAAGAGAGACCTCTCTATGTAGACGGTGATTTTGCTCGGTAGGAAATATTAGGAGGGCATAAGCCGCCCTTTCCAAAGCCAGACGACTCTTGTTCAAGTTGATGGGTTTGGAGGTTGGGCCTGGAGAGCGGAAGGGCTTGGGGGAAGCAGGCATGGCTGGAGAGGGAGGGGTAGCAAAGGAAAGGAGACAGCAGTTGCCCTGGCTGTTATGAAGGCCTTGTCATTCATTCCAGAGCTATTGGATAAGAGGTGCTGAGGATACTGCGTGAGACGCAAAAACCCTTTTCCTCAGGGAGGTGGCATTCTGGTGGGGGCAGAAGATGGAAGTGAGCAAAGACTTTCTCGGTGCCCTTTACCTTCTAGAAAGTAGGTGGTCAGATTAGGTTACAACGGCCACACAGCACACAGACACACACACACACACATACACACACGCGCGCGCGCGCACACATACCATCCTCCCGCAAACTTAATCCCTCTGCCAAAGACTCCAATCTTGTCATTGTAAAGATATCTTCCAGAATCGTCAAATGACGATTCTCCAGCTGCCCTTCCTTTCTGCAACCTGCCCAGGGGCACAGGCACTACTAGACACAAACCATCTCCAAAGAATCTTCCCGACTCCCGGTTGTGAATATTCCCCTCAAGTGACTCAATGCTTAGTCTGGAGGCCTCCAATCCCCTTCCCATTCAATTCCAAGCTTTGCATTAACACACTAGCAGGCCCCACAGTGGCCTTGGTCACAACGTTGCACTTCCTGTGGCCAGCGCTCCCTTTCTCCTGCCATGCCTTTCACTTGAGTTGTTTGCTCCATCTCTGCCCTTGAAATCCTACCCAGCCTCCGTGCCTACTTCCTCCAAGCGCAGCTCAGTGCTCCTGCCTGAAGTGTTCTCAGCCTCTTCTGACACCCACATCTTCTGCTGTTCTCATGTCCTGTCTTGTATTATTGTGATCCAGGCATCAACTGTGTCTTTGCTGTGGCTAGAGTACCTGCTCCTCAGGACAGACCTCTGCAGCACGTGATTCCTCTCTCCTTATAGGGCCCAGGCCCAAGCTCTGCTCTCAGCTGCTGTTCAGTGAGTGAGTGACGTGCTCAGGGTAAGGGCATTCCCACCACAGCGTGGCCCAGTTCCTGTAATTATTAGCAGTGCCAGAGAGAGGTAGCAGCAGGATTAAGCCACTCTAGGTCAGAAGTTCAGGGACCAGGAAGGAAGAACCAGTAGGTTCCTTCTGCAGAGAAAGCTCTTTGAGGAGAATAAGCTAAAACCTTAAGAACCGTTTAACCATTTTTTCCATTGGACTGACCCTTAAACTGTCTCTTTCTCATATAGCAGTCCCACTCATCACCTCATGTTTCTGGATTATAATTAAAATAGGATTCTGGGTTGAGAGGCTTATGAGGGTAAATACATCAGCGTTAGAGCATTACAACCAGGACTGGGCAGCTGTTGAGAGGAGGCAGAAGAGAAGAATACAAGAGTCTAAGAGCATGGCCAGCGGGATGAGATCCAGCTTTATATTTTTTACCAGAAGAAATAAGGCCCAGGTGTTTGGAAGCAGCCCTTGTGTCAGAAGCATCCAGCTAAGCCAGGCCTGAGCCTCTGCCAAAGTTGATCTGAGCAGGAGGGAAACCCTGTGTTCTTAGAAGGAAGAGGATCAGTTGATCATGCGGTGGCTTATCAAGAAATCAGGTTTTCCCGGGGTGTACCCGGTTAGGCAGTAACAACCAAACCCAATCATGCTTTACAGTGGGAGAGATAAAGAGACAGGAAGGGTGACTTCAGCAAGGTTCCCTATGGACCTGCCAACCCCGGAAGAACCAGGACACAAGGTGAGCACCAATTCCCTTTTGCTTTGCAATAAACTAGTCTTTGGAGGTCATATGGGTGTGTCGTCTCCAGCTATGGAGTACTCTAAGGGGAGGCCTAGGCATCTTGGCACACAGAAAATCCATTCCTACTCTGCCCTGTTCAGATTCTAGATTCCTGACTCACAGAATCGTTGAGCATATTAGGTCGTGTAAGCTTCTAAATATTAGGATTGCAGCAATATTAACTGGTACATTGCCTTACCTCAAGAGAACAAATTTTTTCAAAGAGAAGAAATGATACTGGTCTTCTAAAAGAACCGAGCGTGAGAAGAGCCTGAACTCTCCTTTTGCAGCCTCCTCTTTGCTCATCTGCTTTGGTGTTCTCTGCAATCCACCATCCTTTAGTCCGCACCGTGAAAGGAAGATTTCTTCCCACAGCTCCCATGCACATCTGCTACAGGTGTAACTGGTTACATGTCACTTGGTCCCCAGGCCTAGCCTGGGTCAGGTGTCCATCCCAGACCTAGTCCATGTGGTGAGGCTGCAGGGCCATGTGATATGGACATGTATTGGAAGACAAGAGTTCACTAATGCTAAATGAATATGGTGCAGGAGGCGCAGAGAGACCTTGAAAAGCATTCACTATATTCTCAGAGGCAGAGCCCTTAGAACAGATGCTGTTGATGCCCCATCCCCATATTCTCGGCCTATCACAGTTTGCCAACAGCTGAGGCACCGTTCCCCACAAGGATAATAACCTTCCCATCTCCCTTCTCCTTTGCCTGAGAGTTTTATCAAACCAGTGACAGTTGCTTTTCCGCAGCTCCATAGCCCAATCTTAAAGTGCATTAGAATTAACACTCCCAGGCCAATCTTCAACCAATTCAAGCAGAGGAGGATGGGAAGTATAAAAGCCCATGGACTGTAATCCTTAGGAAGATTCTGAGCTGTATCACACATTTCATATGGTTTCTTAGCGAGTGCTAAATGTGACTGAGCCAAGTTATCCACATGGTATCAGACTCATGCATGAACCCTTTATCCCATTTCTCCTGCAACTGGCTTTCTTCCATTTCTCCGTTTATTTCTGCACTTGTGTCTCCTGGGATCGCTTCTGAGATAAGTGTGGTGAGCTGAATAGTGCTCCCCCCACCCGTCAATCCACTATGAAATTTATGAATTAAATGTATAAAGTGGCAAAATGGCTTTTACACGGAATTAAGGCTATGGAACTTAAAATAGAAAGATTATTCTGAATTGTTTGGGCAGACTCAGTCTAATCAAAGGAGTCTTTAAAAGTAAAAGGCAGACTCAGCACGGTGACCCTTACATCTGTAATCCCAGGACTTTCAGAGACCAAGGTGGGCAGATTGTTTGAGCTCAGGAGTCTGAGGCCAGCCTGGGCAACATGGGGAGACCCTGTCTCTACAAAAAAAAAAAAAAAAACCAGGGCATGGTGACCTGGGCCTACGGTTCTGGCTACTTGGAAAGCTGAAGGGGGTAGACTGCTTGAGCCCAGGGGACAAAGTTTGCAATAAGCTGAGATCATGCCACTGCACTCCAGCCTGGGTGACAGAGTGAATCTGTCAATGAAAAAAAAAAAAAGAAAAAGAAAAGACAGGAGAAGGTAAAGGAATCAAAGAGACACAATGGAGAAAAAGAACTAGGAGATGAGGCTCAACACACTATTGCTGCTGTGAAGATGGAGGAGGGGATCTGGGAGCCAGGGGGAGGGGATCAGTAGCCTCTAGAAGTGAGCACAGTGCTTAGCTGTAAACCATGAAACAACTGGGACCTCAGGCCTATAAACGAAAGGAATGCTTCTGCCAACAATCCGAATAAGGAAACAGAGTTTTCCTCAGAGACTCCAGAAATGAATCTAGCCCGCAGACACCTTGATTTTAGCCTGGTGAGATCCTGGTGGGACTTCTCACATACAGAACTCTGAGATCATAAATTTGTGTTGCTTTAAGTCTATGAATTTATGGTAATTCAGATGGCAGCAATAGAAAATGCATACAGTAAGGATCCTGCGAAAATGCTGCAGTGAGGTAAACTCAAACTGGTGAGTACAGTGGGTGTGTAGACGACTCTACTGGGTTGAGTAGATACCAGAGTTGAGTAGATACTGTGCTGAGTAGATACCAGACTCTAGAAAAAGCCAAGTTGAAGAGTAAGCATTATTTAACAAATTTATTGAACAACCAGGACTTGACAAGCACATGCCAAGTAGAGGGGATACAGAGGGGAGCAACAGTAGTGATGATAATGAGGAGCAGTTTCCCTAGCAGGCAGCAGTTGAAAGGAATATGGGTTTAACACCCACCAATGATGGGGGGTGGACAGACCCCTGTCCAGGAGAGCGAGTCCACAGTGGGATTAAAGACATCCCTGTAATTCTAGTTTCCTTGATCCAAATTTCCTGCATCACAGAGAATCTTCAGGGTATTTGCTCTGCCTGGAAACCCTGACTGTAGGAAGCCAGGCTCTGGCTGCATGCTCACTCAGCACAGTTGTTGGGCAGGCACATCAGTTATTTACTGAGTGTGGCCTCCAGTCTCTTTCCAAGTCACGTGTCATGTGGGTACCATGAGGTTATTCTCTCAACCAAGACACTTGGCAGAGCTAATCCAAGGAGTGCTGGGTCTCAGGCTCTGACCATCAGCTGGAGAGGAGTCAATAGGGTTGTCAATCCCACAACCACCTGCAATGATCCCCACCCTGGAGCCTTCCTGGGAAGGGAACCTCAGGGCTACAGCTGAGTTCTTCCCACGGGGGAAGAATCAGGCTGGAAAAGAATGGGCAAGTGGCCAGGGACTGAGGCTGAACGTCCCCCAGCTGCATAAATTACCATGAGTTATGTAGGTTACTTAATGTCACGCTGCCTCAGCTTCCATACTCGAAAAATGAGACTACCTGACAGGGTGCTGTGAGGATGAAAAGAGTGACACCCACCAAAGCTCCTAACACAGCACCCAGAACGTTTAAAATTCTCTACTGTCAGTCACTGATGAACGCATCCCAGCTCTGTTGGTCACTAGTCATGTCTACTTTGTAAAGCGAATTCACTTTTCTGCACCCCAGTTTCCTTGTCTGTATAAGCGGACAATAAGTTGGTACCAAACTCAAACAACTGTCATATGAATAATTGAATGAGAATCAGCCAAGTGCTTCAGTGTATGTCTGCAGTCTCATGGTTCTGCTTGGTTGCTGTGGAGGGGGAGGCCGTCAGCTCCAGGCTGGGCAGGGAGAAGCAGAGACATTACTTCAGCCTGAGGCTCCCCACTTTCATTAGCTAAGCCCGGGGCCACTGGTGTCTCCAGGAAATGATCAGGCACTAGGTCGGGATCCGGGCAACTCTCTACTCCTTTCTGTGCTGGGCAAATGGTCAGGGCAGTGGGCTCCAAGGTCAAAATTCTGAAAACAGGATACAGAGGCTCGGAGAAGGAGGTATGTGGGAAGGTGTAGATATGAGATCCATCCACGGCATTGTAGAACGAGACATCTCCGGTCTCATAGTCCAGGAAGACCCCCACTTTCGTCGGGTGCTCAGGAAGTGTCAGGTTGGTTCTGGGCTCAGTCAGAGCCCGATACTTATTCCCATCAGTCAGCCCCATAGTCCAGTATCCGTTCTCAGGTGTCATTTTGACCCAACCTTTTTTCCTCTCCACGTTCTTACTACACACACCTATATGCCACTCTTTCCTGTCCCCCACCTCCACCTCCCAGTAATGTCTCCCTGACGTGAAGCTTCCACAGCCAAGCACACAGTAACGCCACTCAAATCTCTCAGGGTTGTCTGGCATATTCCGGGGCTCCTCGGCACGCTGCACAGTCCTCTGGTCCTCAGAAACAAGGAGGATGGGGTTTGCCGTGTCTGGATCCAGAATCACATCCGCTGCAGGGAGTCGGAGGAAGTGTCCATGGGGTTAGTCATTTTTCCTGGATTTCAGAGCCTCAGCGTGCAAGGCCTGGACCATGCTCCGGAGGCCTGAGTCCAGAGCCTGGTGTCCCTAGCCTGCCCTGAATGGGACTTTCTCATCAATGTCATGAGAGAAAACCCCAAGGGTCCTGTGTTCAGAGGGGAAATCAAAGTAATGTGAATAGCTGCCTAAGCCAACACCCTGATGCAGCCTCAGGAAGCAACAAGCCTCTTCTCTCTATGCTTTTCTTGTTTCCCTCCCCACACTGACTCAGCCCAGTAATGCTTTGGACTCAGAGGTTAATTTTCTTTTCTTTTCCTTTTCCTTTTTTTTTTTTTTTTTTGAAGATGGAGTTTCGCTCTTGTTACCCAGGCTGGAGTGCAATGGCGTGATCTTGGCTCACCGCAACCTCCGCCTCCTGGGTTCAGGCAATTCTCCTGCCTCAGCCTCCCGAGTAGCTGGGATTACAGGCACGCGCCACCATGCCCAGCTAATTTTTTGTATTTTTAGTAGAGACGGGGTTTCACCTTTTGACCAGGATGGTCTCGATCTCTTGACCTCGTGATCCACCCGCCCTGGCCTCCCAAAGTGCTGCGATTACAGGCTTGAGCCACCGCGCCCGGCCTTCAGAGGTTAATTTTCAGTCTCTACCACTCATGAGCTAAGTGAGTTCCCCTTTTCTGCAGTGTATTTTTTCATACATACGATTTCTTTAACAAGGTGGAGCCTCATCTGAAGCATTTCCTCACCTGAAAAATACGGATCTAGCATTGTCCAAGGTAATCATGTCACTTACTCAGCCCGCAGCAGAGCATGAAGGACTTTCCTGAAGTTCTAGCAGCTGCAAGGCCGGGTCTGTGCTGGGCTCTAGGCGGGGCCTTCTAGGCCCCAGGTTCACTCTCCACCCTGCAGCTTTCACCACCCTCCTCCGGGCCCCAAGAACCTGTCCTCTAAGGACAGTGTCATTGGGCTCCCTTGTCCTCTGCTTTGCTGTTGGGTTTGGCCAATGGGAGGCCCTGACAGAAGACTGGAAGGAGAAGGAGAGACTCACTGTTTATCTTCCTGCTTCCTCCCTGCCAGCAGCAGCTGGTGCTGCTCTAACAAGGCCTGACCCTTCTCAGGAAGCCCTCTCTCTGAGCTACCCCTTTCTCTGGGTTCCACTCACTGCCTCCCCTCCCTATCCCTCTCAGGCTGGGGTGGAGACAGCTCCCACTCTTGGGAACCAGGGGGCACTGCACTCCTCCTCATTCCTTTCCCCTAACCCTCCTTCCCACAAACCTTCAACCACCCGGTTTGAACTCGCCATCTCTTTCTTACAAGGTTTCTGACCAATGCATGTTTATTATTCCTTCCGTCTTCACCTCAAGCCCTCAAAACACGGATTGCAATCACCATCTAAAAAGGTGGAGGCCGAAGCTCAGAAACATTAAATCCTTCGAGGAGACACAGGCAGCAGGTGGCATGAGAAGCCAGGGAAGGGTAAAGTTCTCAGGGCTGGCATCGCCTCCTCTCCTTGGCATCTCCATCCTCACTCTCCTGCAGTATCACTCAGTGTGTGTCTCCTTCCCCTCAGCTCCACCCTTTATGCATCTTCCTTCCCAGAAAGGTCTGAGGAAGCCCAAGAGAGCAATTCTCCCTGGTTCCCTGGCTCTCAGCAGGAAGGGCCTTGGTTATGGGCCCCTTTTTCAGATTGGGATTTAATGTTGCCTACCCCAAACCCTCCTAGTCATGGGAACTTTTCTTTCCCAAATCATAGGAGTTGGAGGAGGAAAAAGGAGTATGTTCCCTCAGGGTATTGGTTCAGGGCACATGCAGTGATTGACTCACCAGGCTTGAAGAGGGCCATTTTCCATTCTGAAAGGAAAGAGACATGGAGAAGAAAAAGTCAGTATTTTTGTACTTTTCCCACTCCATTCACTATGTGTTTTCTCTCCTTTTCTTCAGAGTCTCTTCCAGGGTCCAGCTTCCCTCCTCTACAGCTCTGATGGATCAGGGGTGGCACCTTCTCAGAAATGGCAGGCTCTGTTCCCTCTGTCATGAAGGGAACAGGCTGCAAGGCCAGGCTTCACCTGGGTGTGTGCAGGGTCAGGAGTCTCTTAGATCTCTAGAAAAGCAGAAGTTGACCCCCTACCATGTAAAATTGACTCTTTGGATTAGATATGATTAATAGAACTGAGAACGTCAATGGACCACAGCAGAGAAAAGGTGGAAATGTTCATGGCATGTGACCCAGAAAACTTAGAGCATCAGGCTCACTTACCATGATAGGCTGAAGACTTCTCTCCCCCTACAATGAAAGAAAGATAGAGATGTCATCTAAACTCTGCCTCTTCTGTGTTGGCCCCTTCTCATTCCTTTTACATGCATCTGTTGGGGTCTGGCAGGTCTGCCAGGGGGGTTGCCAACCTGTGGGAGTCCCCGGCAGACGTGCCGGACCCCAACATCTGGCGCCCCGAACAGGGACCGGAGTACGAGAGGTACCGTGATGCACCCCAAATCAAAGGAGACAAGGTAAGGCCGGGGTTCTTGTAGTCCTGGACTCAAAATTCATCTGGAGTAAAAATGGAGTAGTGTGAGTCCGGGAATCAGTCTATGTTTGTAATGTTGATGCATCAAATGTTAAGAAATAGAGGTGCTGATGTAAAAATGAAACATGTTTCTAGGTTTTTAGAGCTTGTCTATGAATTGTGCCCGTGGGTCCCTGAGGAGGGATCCTTAGATGAATCTACCTGGAGTAAAATAGGAACTAAGATTGAGGAATATGCCCACACTCATCAATCTTCTCCGCAAGCAGAACTGCTACTTTTGGTTTGGTCACAGCTGCGCGATGCTGTCTGCCCGCCTTCTTGCAATGCTGCAAGCACTGATTCTCACAGCTCCCCTGCTGTCTCTCCTGCTTCTAAGCCCTCTTCCTCTTACAAATCTAACCCTGATGATGGAGGGGGCGGCTGTAATTTACCACCTTGTGATCCTTGAAACGAGCCTGATTCTGCCCTCGGAGTCGGACCTGGGGCTGGGAATGGAGGAGCTCGACATGAAGGGATTGGGGCCAGGGTTAAAAACAGCGTTCTGGAGAAGATGCAGTATTAGTTTGGGGCAGAGGTCACGTTTGTGTCTTTCCTAGATCTGCCCCCTCATCCATCTGGGTGCCTGAACAACATGCCAAGCATGCCCTAAAGAGGACGGTCCTCCCCGAGACCAGTGATCGTCCCATTTCCCCGACTGACAACTCCCCGTTGGCCGAGCCCTCGATTGACTTCACCAGACTCCCTTCTCCCGAGGGTCCGACGGCTGCACTTGCAGAGGACGACATCCTGCCGTACCTGCCGCCCTCGACGTCAGCTGACACCCCCTCGAGAAGTTCCAGTCCCGACCTGGACCCAAATGCGATGCCTAGTGACTGACGCGTCGCGCATTGTTCATCAACAAGGACATTCCCTTAATCCAGTTACTTTGTTTGTAGCCATGATAGCTATTTTGTCTTGTGATTCTATGTTAGCACACCCTATGCCTGTTTATGACTCTTCTGACGCCTTTTGGGCCTACGTTCCTGATCCTCCTGTACTCCGTCCTGTTACTTGGGATGACCCTGCCTATACTGTCTTTCTTAATGACACCTGAATATTTGGCACCCCTTCGGCTGCTCACATCTACCCTCAATCAGCAAACTACACCTTCGTTGGTCAATCCATTTCTCCTCCTATGTGTTTTCATGCCACTAAACTGTACACTCAAATTTTTTATTCCAAAGATCCACTTTTAAACCTATATCTACTGCTCAGCCTTCACCCTCCAATTGTTTTAATTTAGGCATTTGCCGTTCTTTTGCCTATAGTGGCCCTGAGGCTCTTCCTAAAGATACTCCTCGCCTTACTAGAGATTGGATTGTAACCTATGTTGGACTCAGGGAATTGCGAGAAGTTACTGCTGCTAAACTGCCCATATAGGACCAGCAACATTGCCATGTGACCAACAAATCCCTTGACCCCGTGCCCATCTGGTACTCTTATCTTCCTCCATCAGCTCATGCTCTTTATTCTTACCTTGCTACAGGATTTTCTCTTTATTATTGGTCTGTGCCCTCCCCCCGCATTTCTGGCATCACTAGGTGTGAGTCTCCCCAGGCATGGAACACTCCTTTATATACCACAGCCTCTGGCAAGACCTATTCCTCATTGTGGAGACTCTTTTCAGCTGTCCATCCTTCTACAGTTTATGCAGGCCTCGATAGTAACATTGCCAACCCAGTGCAGACCTTCTCCATTCGTTCCTCTGTAGCCGCTCCCTATGCCCTTTTACTAGGGCCAGTGTCTTTTCATGTTCAAAATGGTCATTATACCATTTCCTGTTTAAATTGTTTACTCATAAACTGTATTGATACTTCCATGTTCCCTGTTGATACAATTTTTGTTGTTCATCAACCCCCATATGTTATGCTCCCTGTAAATATTTCAGGTCCCTGGTATGATAAGCATTCTTATTCTCTATTTTACAAAGCCAGATCTCTGTTCCTTCAACACCAAAAACGTTTCCTTGGTATACTCACCACTGGAATTATTGCCATTGTATCTATAATAGCATCTAGAGCTACGGCTGCTGTCAGTCTTTCTAAATCTGTTAATACTGCTGTATATGTAAATCATTTAGCCAAAAATGTTTCTATTGCTATGGGATCTCAAATGTCTATTGATGATAAATTAGATGCAAAATTAAATGCCTTAGAACAAACTGTAACCATCTTAGGAGACAAAGTGTATAACTTACAAAATTGACTTTCCCTCCACTGTCATGCTCACTATAAATATATGTGTGTTACCAGCACTCCCTACAATGGTTCCCAGTGACAGTGGCCGCTTCTTAAGGCCCATTTACAGGGCATCTGGTCTCATAACAATCTCTCTTGACATCTCATGTTTGCAGAAAAAATTTCGGCCACTGACCTTTCTCAGTCACAACTACCTGATGATGACTTTTTTGCTCACAGTTTTGTTGATGCCATGTCCTCTTGGATACAACAGTTTCATATCCCCTCTTTTTCATCACTGCTTCCCATTGCTGCTTGTGTTCTTGTGTTGCTAATGTGCCTGCCGTACGTCTTCCGCCTCTTGTTCTCCACCCTCTGAGAAGTGCAATTGAGGGTGTTTGCGCTTGATTTGCAAAAAAAAAAAAATAGGGGGAGATGCAGCATTCACGCCAAAGGCTTGAGACAGCTAGCGTGACTCGCCCTATTTTGGCTGCTGGACCTATTTGCTCTCCCCCCGCTCTCGAGGCCTGTTGAGTTGAGGCAAGGGTTGCGGGCTGAGCCACTGAGGCAAAAACGAGATACAGAGCAAGAGCCTGCAGTTTATGAGGGCATTGTGCTGACTGCTTTCATATCCCCCTTTAATCCCTGTGTAAGCAACGGACTTGCTGCAATTGAGATGCCTGAGAGGGGCAAGGACCCCTGCCCATATTTTCTCAGGAGCTGAGCCTTTGCTCTACCTCCTGATGGAAAACATAATTAACAAGCCACCATGAGGACGCCATTGTTTGATTGCACTGTGCACTCTTAAAAAACATAGATTAACCTTTAAACTGCTTTGTGAGCTATTACCACAAGCCCCTTCAAACTGCTCTGTGAGCTGCTATCTCAAGCCCCTGATAACTATTTTTACATGGTTTCTGTTCACCCCCTTTTCTGCTGAGCTAAAGTAAATGTAACAAGAAAAAAGGTATAAAAACTGTAACCCACAAAAATAAAGCTGCTGCCTGACTTAGGGTCACGCAGACCTCCAGACTCCACTTTTCCTTATTCTTTCACTTCCGCGCACTCTCTCCCTCAGGTTGGACGAGACATCTACGTTGGCGGTCTCAGGGACTCCCGCAGGTTGGCAGCCCCTCGGCAGACATGCTGGACCCCGACAAGCATCTAGTCTTTCTGTTTGACCATCCCACCCTTCCCACCCTTCCCTGTGGTCTCACTCTGCAGGTTCAATTCTCTCTTCACACTTTCTACTTAATATCAATTCTAGGAACATCGGCTGGATGCAAGTGGCAGTGCAGGCACTGTGTGAGTTCCTTCCCAGTGGAGTCCAGCTCATCTATTTTGAATCTGTCTATACTCTTGTACCTGGGCATAGGTGTCACCATGTCTATATGTGTATGTATAGGAGTACAAGGTCTATCCTTCTCAATCTGTATAATTTCCTACTTTGCTCCAAACAGAATTTGGGAAATTTTATGAGCAATTTCAGGGACTAGATTTTGAAAGCAGTTACAATCAATCGGTACCAACTGAACCACTGCAGCTACTCCGATTTACTAGACACACTTTTCTCCTTCTCTCTTTTCTGAATTTCTTATTTCTTAAATCTTCCATTCTTGTTTTCCTTTCTGCATACTCTAGATTATGGAAAACAACAAGTAAGGTTTTCCTGCCATAGAAAATGCACCTCATCCTTCTCTTTGCTCTTCATTTTGAAGTGTACCCCTGGATGTTGTTCAGTGCTTTTTAGGGCATAAAGGTCTGTAGCTCCTAGTACAAAGAGATTGAAGACCTCCTTTTTTTTCCCTTTTTTTTTATGAGAGAGAGAGATATATAGAGGAGAGAGAGAGAAGGAGAGAAAGAGAGAAAGAGAAAGACTCCTTCTGAAGCGTTTTTCCAAAGAGTCACACATTTCTCTTCCTAAGTAAAGAGATCCAGGACCACTTTCAACCCTGGGCAAAACTTTTAGGCTGGAATATTTCCAGGCAGAGAGAGTCACAGATTTAAATTCAGAGAAAATGTCAAAGCTACTCACGAGCCATGTACTGGACTTTTCTCCACCCTGCAATGGAATGAACAGGGAAGAGTCATCATGGTGCTCAGTGTGGGGACAGGAAGACATGCCTGGGTGTCTGGGGGAAAGGGAACTTACTGAGTTCCTCCTGGAGCGTCTCTGAAAAATAAGCAAAAAAAAGAAAAAGAACTGTTATGGGTGAGGGGGGTTTCGGGAAAACAAACCTGAAACATGAATCAGGGTGGGGACGGGGGTGTGAGCTTCAGGATGGGGCCCGCGAGCCAGGGGCTCAGATTCTCTGCTCGCATTGGGTACCTCTAATGCTTGTTTCCAGCATTGATGCGGCATATCCCTCTTCTTTCATCTCTCGCTCTCTTTCCATCTCCCTGGACAGTGCAATTTTTTCCTTCTGCTGTCGCCACAAGAAGAAACCGGCTCCTGCGAGAAGCAGCAGCAAGATAGGGAGGGTCCCTGCCAGGGCTGTGATCCAGGGCTGGGCGCTCCGGAAGAAGGGGTCTGTGAAAGGAAGAGCTGTGAGTCAGGGGCACCAGGTGCACTCAGCCTCCCCAGCCTGCACCGCCCCAAACTTGAGCTGCTCAGCCCAGGTCAGGGGCGTGGAATCTATCTTGCAAGGTTAAATAAGTGTTCTCTCCCTAATGTCTCCCTAAAGAGGACTGTAGAGAAGACTTTGGTAAACCCTCACTGCAAACTACTACTATTACTTATCTCGAGATGTCGACCTCTCACATGGGACGTACCTTGAGCAGAGTCATACACATTTGTTTCTAAGTATTTTTTCAATAGGTGACACATTTACACGGTTCAAAACTATATCTACATAAAGTCATGCAATGCTTCCATCCACCCACCCCTCCCTCCCTCCACTTTTTAACTTCTTAGTCCACTTATTATAATGCTTAGGAAAATAAACTGTGGAGTCAGAGGGCACAGCTTTCCGTGCTGGCTCCTCCATGTGACTGGTAGTGTGGTGCTGGACTACTTACATAACCTCTCTGTTTGGAGTGGCCTGATCTGTAAGATGAGCGTAATGAGAATACCTATTTCCTAAGGTTAGAACAATTAAACTAATACTTAAAAGTTCCTGATGAACTGGGTGCAGTGGCTCCTGCCTGTAATCCCAGCAGTTTGGTAAGCTGAGGTGAGCAGATCACTTGAGGTCAGGAGTTCTGAGACCAGGCTGGCAAACATGGTGAAACCCCATCTTAACTAAAATTACAAAAATTAGCTGGGCATGGTGGCATGTGGCTATAATCCCAACTACCTGGGAGGCTGAGGCTCAGAGGTTGCAGTGAGACAAGATTGTGCCACTGCACTCCAGCCTGGGTGCAAGAGGGAGACTCGGTCTCTAAATAAATAAATAAAGTGCCTGATGCACAGTGAGTGTTACAAAATTGATTGTTAAATTTTAAAAGTGTAAATTAAATAAGAACTAAACAAAAAGTAAATTTAAATATATTCCTATTTTTCTTCTTGTTTAAACTAAAAATAACGTTCTATACACATCACTCTGTATCTTGCGCTTTCTGTGTAAAGTGTATTACGGAGATATTCCCATATTAGTATAGAGAGAATTATCTCTTTTTTGTTTCACAATTGGGCAGTATTCCCTCATATAGGAATTCACCATCAGTGAGCATCTGCAGAATTTCTAATGTTGTACAATCATAATCAATGCTATAAGAAACTTTTCACAGGCTGGGCATGGTGACTCAGACTTGTAATCCCAGCACTTTGGGAGGCTGAGAGAAGCGGCTCACTTGAGGTCAGGAGTTTGAGACCAGCCTGGCCAACATGGTGAAACCGCATCTCAAGTAAATATATAAAAATTAGCAGGGGTGATGGCATACTTATAATCTCAGCTACTGGGGAGGCTGAGGCAGGAGGACCTCATGAATCCAGGAGGAGGAGGTTGCAGCGAGCTCAGATTGCGCCATCACACTCCAGCCTGGGCAACAGAGTGAGACTCCCTCTCAAAACAAAGAAACAAACAAAAAGCCCAGAAACTCTTTTCATGGATCATTTCAGACAAATTACAAGCTTACCTAAAAGCTAAATTTCCACAGCTGGAATTTTGGATCGATAAATATGTAGTCTGAATAGATCCCCCAACAGAGGTTGTGCTAATGCGCACCAAAAATAGAGGTGACGTGAGCAAACGCCAGAGTCACCTCCTCCCTACACTCCTGCCACAGCCATGTGCTATCAACCAGGCAGTTTTGCCTTGGCTTTTGCCAATACCCTAAGTGAAAAATGATTTCATATGTTTCCCTAATGTGTGAGAATGAGCACCCTTCTGGGGGTCATTTCCTTTTCTGTGAATGAGCAATTCAGGACCTTTGTTAAATTGTTTTACTCAGTTTCTAAAATCTTTGGTTTCAAGGAGATCACCTCTTTATAAGTTTGTAAATATGTATATACTTTCCCATTTTGACGTTTTACTTTATATAAGAAGCTTTTGTTAATGTTTTCCCCCCAATTCCCATTGCCTGTCGTACTTTCTGGCAGATAGAAAATGTTCAGTACATGTTTGTGTCATGAACAGCTTTGTGGAGGAGGGAAGCTCCCCTGGAGCAGGCAGGAGCCTCCAGGTCCCTGCTTTGGGCCTTACATGCCGTGCAGAGACCCAGGTTGACTCCAGAGACTCACACAGTAGAGACTCACATCCCCCTTCATTCAACTGTCACACCTCAGCTCAGTAAGGCTGTGGTCAAGCAGGCACTGACCCGCGATGGAAATGCTGGCTGACTTTTGCAGGCCGAGGAGGGAATTTCTGATGATGCAGGACACCTGCTCCCCAGAGCTGCCTCTCATGGTCACGGATGCTGCTACTGCATACAGACCCGCTCCGTCCACAACCACAGGTGCTTCCACAGCTGGGATGTTCTCTCCCTTGGCGTTGCTCCACTGTATTTGGGGCTGGGGGTACCAGCCAGTGGACCTGCACTCCAGATGGATCCCTCCAGCTTCGTAACCCTTCACGTCAATGTGAAGATCAGAACCCAGTGCTGTGGAAGGATGAATCAGCCTAAATTCTGGAGATCTTCCTGTATCAGGGAGGGTCTCGATGGGAATCAAAGGCAGACTCAAATTTGGTAATTCAAGAAAGATTTCATTCAGGAGCTGTTTACAAAAGTGTGGCCATGAAGAAGGGAAAACTAAATGGGATAGGGCTGTATCTCAGGGTCAGGAACAGTGGGGCTATTCCCACCCACCCCAGTTACTAAGGGAGGAGGAGAGGAAGCCATTTTGGAAACATAAAAGAAGACACTTGGTCCGGCGCGGTGGCTCATGCCTGTAATCCCAGCACTTTGGGAGGCCGAGGCGGGCGGATCGCCAGGTCAGGACATCCAGACCATACTGGCCAACATGGTGAAACCCCATCTCTACTAAAAATACAAAAATTGGCTGAGTGTGGTGGCACATGCCTGTAATCCCAGCTACTCTGGAGGCCGAGGCGGGCGGATCGCCAGGTCAGGACATCCAGACCATACTGGCCAACATGGTGAAACCCCATCTCTACTAAAAATACAAAAATTGGCTGAGTGTGGTGGCACATGCCTGTAATCCCAGCTACTCTGGAGGCCGAGGCGGGCGGATCGCCAGGTCAGGACATCCAGACCATACTGGCCAACATGGTGGAACCCCATCTCTACTAAAAATACAAAAATTGGCTGAGTGTGGTGGCACATGCCTGTAATCCCAGCTACTCTGGAGGCCGAGGCAGGCGGATCGCCAGGTCAGGACATCCAGACCATACTGGCCAAGATGGTGAAACCTCATCTCTACTAAAAATACAAGAATTGGCTGAGTGTGGTGGCGCGTGCCTGTAATCCCAGCTACTCTGGAGGCTGAGGCAGGGGACTCGCTTGAACCAGGGAGTCGGAGGTTGCAGTGAGCCAAGATCACGCCACTGCACTCCAGCCTAGCAACAGAGCCGGACTCCGTAGAGAAGTGATTCAATCATTGAGGACTTTCTTGAGAGCAGTTGTGACCTTCGGCAAGTCAATGCAGCCAGCCTGAGGGTATCTTGCAGGAAGGCAGCCAGGGAATAAGCACCCAGGCCTCTCCTTTTCTCTTCCTCCTGCCATTGTCTACTACAGCTCCCCTTAAACCAAACCTATACAAAAGCCACAGAGCAAGGGATAGCACTGAGAAAGGAAAGCTGTCCCAGCATCTGGAACCTGACACCAGGTCTTGGTAGCCTCCTATGAACATAAGCAATATCACAGAACATAGACAATAGTACTTGGTCACTGTGAAAGACCATGGGAAAAACAAGACCACCCACATCATGCCTGAGTGCAGAGAAAACATGAACGTTGTCCAAACCACAGCAACGACCAAGCGTCCCCCAGCGGCAGTGGGGAACTGCTGCCCCTCCATCACTGCAGCTTTAGTCTCACCCTAGTCTCCTTCCTCCTAGATAAGATTGATTAAGGCTCCCACTCACAGAATTAACCTGCCATGCCTTCCTGATGGCATCTCATCCAGAGCGGAGGACTAAGTCTATAAACCCTCCCCCAAGTCCCCTAACACAAGCCCAATTGTATACTGAGTCTGCTCTAACACCTTCTTACTGAGACCCCGCCACAGTTCCCCGTGATGTGTGTTCTTTTTCAATGCAACGAGTGAGAAACATGCCTCATTCTACTACAAAAGTGTTCCTGGGAGTCACTGATTGGAAAGCACTGGCAGCAGAGAGTGCCTATGCCACCTCCCAGGGCCCATGGTATTGTGCACCTGGTGACACAGCAGGAGCCGCCTGTTACTCCATTAGACCAAAATGACTGTGTATCAGTCACTGACACGATGATTTCTTATGCCTCCTATCCCTCCTCCTTCACTTGTCTTATGTCTCTGGTGGCCAGAGGAAGGGAGTTCTTTACCTGAGCATGTAGGGCACAGCAGGAATTCTTCCTATAGGAAAACCTGTGTCCTACTCAAGGGGCTCAGAGAGGCTAAGTTGGAAGGCAGCACAGGCAATTGCTAGGGAGCAGCCAGGGGCATCTGCAGTGCTTTGGGAAGAGGAACTCGGCATCTGTTCTAGATCCTCCGGAGAAATGCTCTCAGAACAAAACCCGGAGGCTCACCTGCAACCTTCAGCTCCACCAGGGCTTTTTCATAGAAGTCACCATCTTGGAAATAACACAAGTACTTTCCACTGTCAGAGGCTGTGACGTTGTGTATTCGGAGAGCAGCCTTCCCTGCAGCGATGCCGTCTCGTAGAATCCAAGTTCTCCCTCGATACCCTGCGCTCTGCCTGTCTTCCACTTCCTTTCCAGCTGCATACACGCTCACCACCTGCCTGAGGCTGGAACTCACCCACCTCAGCTCCATGGTCTCTGCACTCATGGTCGGGACCAGGTGACAGGGCAGATCAGCGTCTTCACCCACCATGGCCAGGATGGGCCCAGGGGGTCCAAGCACAGCAAACTGAGCTGTCGGCACAAGGGGGAGGCTCCGTCACAGGGTGCTGGGGTTGGGGTCATGAGAGGAAGGGTGCTTCTCAGACAGGGAAGGTGAGATACAGAGACCCTAGAGGGGAACACGATCCTAAGAGAAGCACCATTTGTCTCTCAGTGACATGTGAACCCACAGGTTGGGATGGACTTTAGGTATGGGGAGGAGTTAAAGGTCTATGAGGACATTAATAGGTAATTGTCTGCTTCAGAAACAAGCGTGGAATCATTCCCTACCTGAGCACGGAGTGAGCAGCTGGACCAAGAGGAGGCAGACATGAAAGCTGAGCAGAAGAAAGGCCAGGGAACTTGCCATTTTCATCTGTGCTGCACACCAGGAGACGCCAGAAGGTGTGGGTCAGACACTATAGCCCAGAAGAAGCTTTAGGATTCAACATGAAAACCTCCACTTCCCCCAGGCAAAGTCAAGTATGGTGACTGAAGATCTTACCTCTGCCAAAAATGTTTGTCCTTGAGTGTCTTTACGTGTAGTTCCAACATGGAAACCCACCTATAAAACCATGTCTATGTGAAATGCACATCTGTTATCCGATCAGGAAATCCTCACTCTACTGTTCGAAAATATTCAGAATCCTATTGCTTCCCCAAACTTTCCCTGCCCGTCCAACCCTCCGTCATCCCCCTCTGATTCATGCAGGATCATCTTCACTGGGATCCCTGGTTCCACCAGGGTCCACCACCGTGGGTTTCCCACACTGTGGACTCCTCAAAGCCTCAGCTCTTGGACATCATCATGGTCAACTCATGGCCCAGTGGACTCCTGGTGGGATTCAGGAAGACTGCCTGGTGGGGCCTTCGAGTCAGTGAGGGGCTGAACCAACCACATTTAATCCAAGGCTAGTGATCAGAGAGCTGCAAATAAGACCAGGCCTTACTTCTATCTTCCCTTCATAAAGTCATTCAACAAACATTTACTGAGTACCCACAAGGGGCCAGGCTCATGATATTAGGGTTAGGGACACAAAGAGGGTAAGCATTAAGTAAAGGCACTGAGATTCACAAGTTATTTGCTCTTGGTCATGGGACAAAACCACTGGAACTTTATTTACTCATACAATATCATGAAATGTGAAATTTCGTGAGCAGTGTTCAAGCCAAAAGCTTGAGACAGTTAGCGTGACTCGCCCCATCTTGGCTGCTGGACCTATCTGCACTCCCCCATCTCGAGGGCTGTCGAGCTGAGACAAAGTTCGCGACTGAGTCACTGAGGCAAAAACAGAATACAAAGCAAACGTCTGCGGTTTATGAGGACATTGTGCTGTCTGCTTTCATGTCCCCATCATTCTCTGTATAAGCAATAAACTTGCTACAATTGAGATGCCTAAGAGGGAGAAGAGACCCCTGCCCATATTTTCACTGGAGCTAAGCCTTTGTTCTACCTCCTGATAAAAAACAGGATTAACAAGCCACCTTAAGGGCACCATTGTTTGCTTACGCCGTGTATCTTTGAAAAACATAAACTGCTTTGTAAACTATTAACACAAGCCCCCTTAAACTGCTTTGTGAGCGGTTATCACAAGCCCCGATAACTATTTTTATGGAGTTTCTATTTCCTTTCTGTTTACCCCTTTTCTGCTGAGATAAAGTAAATATAACAAGAAAAAAGGTATAAAAGCTGTAATTTTTTATAAAATTTTTTATAAAAAAGAATAAACTTGCTGCGTTTTGACCATAAGTTACGCAGACCTCCAGACTCCGCTTTACTTTTTCCTTTCACTTCCGCGCACTCTATCCCTCAGGTTGAACGAGATATCTATGTTGGCGGTCTTGGGAACTCCCGCTGGTCGGTAGCACCCCGGCAGATGTGCCAGACCCCGACATCTGGCGCCCGGGATAGGGACCTGAGTAGGAGAGGTACAGTGACGCACCCCAAATCAGAGGACACAAGGTAAGGCTGCAGTTCTTGTAGTTCTGGACTCAAAATTCATCTGGAGTAAAATATGGGGCAATACGAGTTCAGAAATCAGTCTATGTTCATGAAGTTATTACATCAAATGTTAAGAAATAGAGGTGCTGATGTAAAAATGAAACATGTTTCTAAGTTTTTAGAGATTGTTTACGAATTATGCGTGTGGGTCCTAGAAGAGGGAGCGTTAGATGAATCTATGTGGAGTAAAATAGAAACTAAGATTGAGGAATACGCTGTCACTCATCAATCTTCCCCACAGACAGAACTGTTACTTTCGGTTTGGCCGCCGCTGTGCCATGCTGTCTGCCTGCCTGCTGCATCTCTCGCTTCTAATCCCTCTTCCTCTTACAAATCTAACCCTGATGATGGAGGTGGCGGCTGTAATTTACCACCTTGTAATCCTCTAAATGAGCCCAATTCTGCCCTCGGACTCGGACCTGGAGCCAGAAATGGAGGAGCTCGGGACGAAGGGATCAGAACCAAAGTAAAAAACAGTGCTTCGAAGAACGCACAGGTAAGGGCTTTAGCTGCACCCTTTATCCTTTCCCCCGAGCAATTTTCCAGGCTCCTGGCTTCACTTTCCAAACCTGCTCAGGCTTTTCCTGTAGTTACTACGCCTTCCTCTAAGCCTGTGGTGCGCTCTACCCCGCGAGAACCTATCCTTGCAACTACTTATGCCTTTGCATCTATGAAACAGGGATTTCCCCATTCTGACCTCCATCTCGTCTGTCCCACTGTAGAAGTGCCCAATCAAAACAGCGAGATTGTTCACCATTATGAACGTCTTCCGCCAAAATTCATGAAAGATTTCAAGGAGGCAGTGAGTAACTACAGACCTACTGCACCTTATACTCTCTCTTTACTTGAAAATTTTGGTACTCAGGCCATGACCCCTGCAGACTGGCATCGCGTCACCAACGCCTGCCTTTCAGGTCGAGACTACTTATTGTGGAAAGCTTATTATGATGATGCCGCTTTCGATTTGGCAGAAAAGAATGAGAGACAAAGAGTGGGAGTTAATTTGCAGATGTTGAAATGTACAGGTGATTATGAAAGTGTTCAGGCACAAGTTGCCCTCCCAGAAACGGTGTTTGGCCAGGTAAATGCTTTAGCTTTGCATGCCTGGAGAAAGCTTCCCACTTATGGAGAATTTACTGATGAAATTACCAAAATGAAACAGGAAAATGAGGAATCTTAACAAAATTTTGTCTCTAGATTAATGCAGGCAGTCAAATGGCAATTTGGAGATAGCGAGTCAGCTCAGTTATTTACAAAACAATTGGCCTATGAAAATGCTGATACTACTTGCCAGTCCATTGTCCGCCCGTGGAGAAAAGCTTCCCTTTACAAGACCTTCGGAAAGTAAATGAATTATGGAAGTCATGAGACCTCTACAACCTGGTCTCCCTTCGCCTGTTGTTGTTCCTCAGAATTGGGAATTGCTAGTTGTTGATTTGAAAGATTGCTTCTTTTCCATCCCCTTGGCACCTCAAGATTGCTGCAGGTTTGCCTTCAGTGTCCCTGCAACCAATTTTGACAGGCCTTTTGAGTGCTATGAGTGGACTGTTTTGCCTCAAGGAATGGCAAATAGCCCCACCTTGTGTCAGAAATTTGTTGCTCAGACAATTGCATCCCTGCGAGAGTGCTATCTGGATGTTCTTTTGCTACATTATATGGATGATCTCCTTTTGGCCGCTCCTTCCCCCGGCCTCCTACAGGAAGCCTTTTGGGATTTAAGCGACCTCCTTACAAATTCAAACTTAGTTATATCTCCTGACAAAGTCCAAAAGGTAACTTCTTTCCATTACTTAGGTTGCCTCATTGACTCCAATCAAGTGTCCTATAAGATTCCTGTCTTGGCTGGGCACGGTAGCTCAAGCCTGTAATCCCAGCACTTTGGGAGGCCAGGGCGGGTGGATCACGAGGTCAACAGATCGAGACCATCCTGGTCAACATGGTGAAACCCCGTCTCTACTAAAAATACAAAAAATTAGCTGGGCATGGTGGCGCGTGCCTGTAATCCCAGGTACTCAGGAGGCTGAGGCAGGAGAATTGTCTGAACCAAGGAGGCGGAGGTTGCGGTGAGCCGAGATCGCGCCATTGCACTCCAGCCTGGGTAACAAGCGCAAAACTCCGTCTCAAAAAAAAAAAAAAAAAAAAAAAAAAAAGATTTCTGTCTTATCTACTGCCCATCTCAGTACACTGAATGATTTTCAAAAGTTTCTGGGAGATATCAACTGGATCAGGCTTAGTCTTAAATTAACTACTGGTCAACTCAAGCCTCTTTTTGATATGCTCAGAGGCCCCGCAGACCCAAAGTCTCCCCGGACACTTACTGATGAAGCTGGACATGCCTTGCAATTGGTGCAAGATGCTCTCTCTGAACAAAAACTAAACCGTGTCACTATTGAGTGTCTTGGTGTTTATGCATTTTATGCACCTCTTACACCCCCACAGGTCTTTTCTGGCAAAAGGGAATCTTGGAGTGGCTCCACCTGTCTGCCATTCGGCCTTGTGTTGTTACTCCTTATTTTGACTTAGTGTCTATGCTAATTGCCAAACGCGGCCTCAGGGCACTTACTCTCTGTGGCTCTGACCCACCTATTGTGATCGTTCCTTACACCACCCAAGAACAATCTTGGTTGTGGTCATTTTCTGACTCATGGCAAGTAGCTCTTGCAGGTTTCACAGGACAACTTTCCTGCCACTATCCCAAAGACAAAATACTGCATTTTTATTCCAGATGTAATCTTATTTTCCCCAAGACATGTTCTTTGCAGCCAATTTCTCAGACCGCTTTGGCATTTACAGACAGTTCCTCAAACGGACTTGCCGCTGGACAAATTGATGATGTTCCCTTTTCTTTCCAGACACCTGAAACTTCCGCCCAAAGGGTGGAATTGCTTGCTGTTCAACATGTGCTCTCCACTTGTGGTCAATCAGTTAATATATACTCTGACAGTCAATATGTAGTTAACCTGATCAATCTGCTGGAGACAGCACCCTTGTCATTTTCTGACAGTTCTGCTATAATACACCTACTTCTTCCTTTACAGCAGACTATCCGCAAGCGGACTCATCAATTTTTTTACTGGTCACATTCGTGCACATACTGATTTACCTGGTCCTCGCTCTGCAGGCGACAGGCATGCTGATGCTCTCACTCACCCAGTCATAGCCCCTGACGACAGGCTGAGACATCTCATGCCTTGCACCACCAGGGCTCCCGTAGCCTGCGGCTACAATTTCAGATCACATGAGAACAGGCTTGTGCCATTGTTAAGCAGTGTCCTGCCTGTGTAACTCACTTACCTCAACCCACACACACTGGAGTAAACCCTCGTGGCCTACAACTTGGCCACATCTTTCAGATGGATGTCACCCATATTGCTTCCTT